GCGGGAAGAAGTTCTGAATGATAAAAACTGCCCATGCTTTCACTGGCTTTTAGATGTGACTTTAAAAAGTCCCATTTTATCCATCATTTTAATGGTTTCKTTCAGGAAGTTTTCACAACACTGGAAATATACTCTTTTAAACTTTATTTTGCTGTGCCTGGTTATTCAGTAGAAGTTTGTACTCCACTCATTTTTTTCCACCTGTCATTRCATCAATGCAGTCACAGCTTGAGGAGACAGCAAGCAGGAGTTTGAGTTGATGCTCATAAATACCTGAGCTCATTCAGCCTTCACCTCAGGATCTGGGTTACTCATCTCAAACTTAAAGCAGTGAATTCTCAAATTTTAGAGTTGTGTGAACCTGAAAAGGCACTGAAGAGCATCTCACTGCATTTGGACACTGCTTTAAAAGAATTCACATGTGTGAGTCTGAGGAAGGGTCTATTCATTATTTGGGAATTGTTTCTAATTCTGTGTCTGATTTATGCACCTTTCCCAAAATAATGTTATGGGCCCAGAAGTGTTCTTGGTTTGAAACAGGGTGCAGCTCTTGCAAAGCCACCTAAGAATAGTCAGTGAGAATTCAAGGGTTGGTTTGTTTGAGGTTTTTTGGTTGGTTTGTTTGAGGTTTATTTTTTTTTTTTTTTGCGGGGGGGGATGTTTGTTTGTTTGTTTCACTGTAATCCTCTTTGTTTTATGTTGCAAGAAGCTGATGCAACAATTTTAACTGGCTTGCTAGAAATAACTTGGAGCTGCAGATCTGAATTTTAGGTTTATTACCTATTTACATTTCAAAAGCAAGGACAACATGCAGACCTATTTTACTGTTAAACAAAATCATCATCTTCTGAGAAATAGCCTTGAAATCCTATTTTGATTAATAYGTTGTTTATGAATACGGAATTCTTTCCTTGCTCCATCTCAGTCCCTCTGTTTTATTTTGAGGGAGAAACAGCTTAAAATCAAATCTTTATCTCAGGGTGACATGAATTTTCAGTTTTGTCTGTCTTAAATTATTTCTCTGTGTTACTTAAGGTGCTGCTCTCCCCCTGTTTAGAACAGACATCGAAGTGTGAAACAGAGTACAATTGCACAGGGTTCTATTCTTTGGGCTCTCCAGTCAAAATTTTCWACAAAAATCTCTGACAATACAATAAAGTAAAGCAGAAGCAGCAGGAAATTCAGATAGAGGGAACAGGARCAGTTGAACCATGGCAATTCTGTCACTGTCCTAAGCCAAAACCCTGCCTTTTTATATCCAGATTTAGCMCAGAAACTTTAGACTTCGAAGATCTTCCATWAATCTTCAGGCTCAAGARTTTTATATGAGCTGTACATTAGAARCATCAATCCTGATAAACTCAGGAAACATCACAGAAGTTACTGTGGATAAAGGAATTTCAGCAATTTTAGATCACAATAGTTTCAACTGATGAGAAATTAATTCTGTATTAAGTGACTATAGGAAAGTTTTTCTATAATTAAAACTAATGGAAAATGTGATCATTTCATTTAAGTCTTTAAAGATTAATGTTTAAAATTATATTTTTTCTTGTTTCCATCAAAATCTCTAACTGTTTTAGTTTYATACTTGTGACTACTTAATTAATGCCCCTTTCTGGTGAAAGGGGAGATTGAGGCAGGACAGTGGAATCAGTGGGGCAGGACACATGGCAGGAGCCAGGAACAGCATTCAAACCCACTGCCTAAGTGACTTCCAATGACAGGAATAGATACACCCTTTAGGCGAAATACAAATGCATGAAAATATTTGGAACTTGACAGCCTGGAAATATTGCATGCTCCCTGAAAATGTGTCATTCCAGTCTGTCAGATAAAAATATTTGTGAGAGTGAAAGGGATATTTACAGAAGACAGCTTACATATGATTATATTGTATAGAATTCTGGAAATATTTTTAACATTTTCCATGATTTCTACTGGGCATTAAATACCTCAGTATTTCTTAGGTGTCCTTCAGGTTTTTCTACAAAGTTAAAAGTAAAGCACAAGCTCTTCACAAAMATTTTACAAATATWATTACACTCAGTAATACATCCATGYTATRAAATAGATTGCCACTTMTACATTTCATGTGTGTTTCAGTTATAATTACTTCTGCTGTATCTTGCATGATATTTCTACTTAAAGAGTAAGGTACTGAAAAGTGTGGGGTTTTTTTCTTGCAAGAAAAATGACTAGGACCATGCCAGGGTCTGGCTGAACTGGGTATTTATATAGGTGCTGTATTTCACCATGGAGTAGTGTGGAAATGCATGGAATCTGGGGAGTAAAAGAGCCTCAGCTACAGAAGACACCCCCTCCTGCTTCAGCTAAAAACTCTGAGTGAAGGGAAATGCTCCTCCCTGAGCAACTGGAGATCAAGAACTTGTTTATGTGAGTGGGCAAGAAATAAACTTTGTAAATCAAAAGATCTAGAGCAATGCAGTGCTACAGAAAAGGYACATCACTGAAAAGGCCTTGACCCAAAACTCCTGTTCAGGAGAATAATGGTGATGATCACACAGAATAACACTGCTGTGATTCTGCTGAGCTGTGTGGGGGTTTGTGCTGCCTAAAATGAATCACTCCTCTAGAATCCCCTTTTTTTTTGCAACATCTTAGGCTGTTTGTGTCAAGTATCAGGCAGCTTTGAGGAGATAAATGTCCCCATGTGAGGGGAGCGTTAGGGAAGGATGTGTTTATTTTCTTGTGGGCAGTGTGGGACAGCTTGTAGCWGGAATCACATTCAGCAGCTGATCTCATAAAAGGTGGAAAAGCAGATACAATAGCCTGGGAAATGGCACAGGGCAGCCCTGTCAGCGGGCACAGGGTGTTCAGCAGAGCTGTGATAGTCTGCAAGGGCGCGACTGAGCAAAATTAGATTTTGTGAACTTGAGGAGATTTGATGCCACTCGGCTTTTCACAAATCAGCCCCTTATTTCARCAGACAGGATTAGCAGGGGCAGTGCTGGAAGATGAGATCAGGGAATGCCCTGAACCACAGGAGGAGGCTCAGCTGAGTGTGTGGGATGATGCTGTGGAGTGACACAGCACCATCCCTGTGCCACAGCTCCTGCACTGTCCCTCTGGCCACCTGGGCAAAAACGTGTGGAAAGGTGTGACAATAGGGATAAKTGCTTAACTTCCTTGAGCAGCAGTACAGGGGAAAGAAAGAAATTCTTCTTGAGGTTTTCACAAAGATTATTTTCTTCCTGGAGCACTGCACCCACAACAAGGGATTTCACTGCAGCTCTAATGAAGCAGGGAGCTCCTTTGGGTGATTGCTCAGTGGTTAAGAGGGATTCCCTGTCATGAGCCTGCCAAAAGCTGAACTTTTGTTTTACCTCCCTCATTAAGAAACTGAACTTAGCCCTTCTGATTTGTTTTTCTTTGGTGATGAGACTAAAACTCCTTTCCCTGGCTGTTGTGTTTCTCCAGAGGCTCACAGACAGCTGCCAGGGGAGMAGTGTGACAGCAGAGCTTGTTTGCTGTGTTCTACCAGCCTCCAGTGGCCAATGGCATTTAATTGTCCTCCCCCCAGTTTAGTCTTTGATGYGTCTAATCACTTCTGAGCCAGGATAAAATTCAGGCACTCACAGCATCCTGTGGCAATGAGCTGCAGAGTTGAGCAAGTTTAACACAGAGCCTGGGTTGGTTTGTTTTGGATGCACATTCTGGCTGAGTTCAGTGCTCTCTGATGCTTCTCAGGGAAGCTGTGAGTGTTCAGTCTCTCATCTCCACAGTACTTTCGATTTTATGGATCTGTCACCTCCCTCCTCAGTCACACTGTGTCCCCTCACTGAGAACCATTTCTGTGTCATATTTTTGTTTGTTTTCTTCTCTCCTATTTTTTGTTTATCTTTTTGAGATGGGACACCAAAACCCCACAGAGAGTCCAGGACAAGGACACAGCATTCTTTTGACAGTAACATATGGATATCCTGCAGATTCTTAATCTTTCGCTGATAATCCTAATTATTGAATTATTGCTTTCTCTGATGCTACTAATCACTGAGATGGTGGGGGTTTCTGGATCTGGCTGTTACAGTTATTAGATCTTTTTCCTGCCTGGGAATATCTAGCTGACAGCCAATCTTTGTATTTGAACAATTAAGATTGCTTTTCCCTTGTGTTGCCTTATTTCTGTTTGCCTTTACAGTGTTTTTCATAGAAGTATTTCCACTTAATAGCTTTAAAAAAATTACCTATGAAGCAGTGGCAAATGATCACTTTCAGTCAATTTACASTTTTGAAAACAACTGAATTATTTAAATAAACTTTATAAATATTTAAAGATACAATTGATTTTTGTTTTACAAATGTCCCATGCTGGGAAGTCAAACCAAGAAATTAGCTTTAGARACATGACTTAATAATGCTACATTAATCAAGAGCTTAAATAGGTGCTGCTTTTCAGGCTAGAAGGGCAATGTTCTGAAGTAACTCTATAGTATTTTGAATGTGTATTTTCAGAATTTTGAATGTCTTTATAATCAGCCTGGGGAGGAAGGTGGGCAGAGGTGTCATCCTGCCCTCCCCACCTGGAAGAAAGCTGAAAAGCTGCCCTTCATATCTTTGAAGTGTAAAAAGTGCAGTGGCACTCCTGAGTAATAACGTGAGCACAGGAGCTGCTCCAGCTGTCAAACCCCAAGAGAAGGCAATGCCACCCCTGTGAGTGATTTGGGTTTGGCAGGAGGTCACATTGGCTTTGAAAGGATTGCTGTTTTCAGGAATGCAGTGTGCTGTGCGGCAGAGGAAACAATTCTATTGTCTGACTTTGCCAACAGAGAGCAAGAAACTTTTTGATAATTGTGTCATTCTTTTTTTGGGTAGCACTATAAATCCTGTGSCACAGTACGGATTGTCACCCTCTGTGCTCATGTGAGATGCTCCCAGTGTGTCCAGTGCCAAATGTGCTGCCACCAAGATCATCCATGGTGGCTATTGATTGCCAGAGGTTACATTCATTTATCTCTATCACTGCATTTCCTTTTTAGGGTGTTCTTGAGAGCCATCAACAAATTTGCAGAGACAATGAACCAGAAGTTTTTGGAGAAYATGAATTTTGAAGTCCAGGTAAGTACTGAGGCAGTATGTGCTGCTCTGCCAGAGCCCCTCGTGCTGCTGGGCTGTGGATTGGGGAGGATTAGATCATCTTCCATATCACATCAGAATTGGCCTTTGCTTATTTATGATAACACCCAAACTGGGTGTTTTGTTCTGTGACTGTTCAGGACTGGCAAGCACAAAACCCTTTTTYATTTCTTAGCCAGCCAAGTGCATTCAGAATGTCAATCTTGGATGTGACACACAGAGCTTTTACAATGTCAGTGCTACGGATGTAGGACAGAAAGAGCTTAACTTTGCTGATTCTTAAAGTATTTAGGACTTAGACTTTATTTTTAACTTATAGTCTTCCCTGATGAATCTATCTTCATTTATTTATCTTTATTAGTTCTTTCTGTAATAATTTTTAATTAGGGTTGTTGGGTTTTTGTGTTTGTTCGGTATTATTATTCTGTGTAACTTAACTCTTTGGTCATRCATTTTACAATGTTAGGCTTCCTTTAGATAAAAATGACAATTACTGTAGTTTTCACATTCATTAAATTTGTATTAAAATGTAAATACACTTTTCAATTCAGGATTTGTCCCTAAGTGCAGCCTGATCATGGTGTGTAAAGTTACTGTTTCACTCCTAACATAAAATTCAGGACTTTGTATTTCATGGTCCCTTTCGAAACTTGCAATCTGTTTAAGAGATTTCAYTTGTGCTAAAAACTGTTTGGGAATCGTTCCTTTGGTCCTGAACACAAAACACCTTGGTCCCAAACAGCCACAGAGGAGCCAGGTAAGTGTTTATACAGSAGGGGTTTGAAAGACAGAAATGCAAAAAAAAGGTAAAAGATTCAGTTCACACTCACAGTGGCATCAAGTAGGAAATTTAGAGCTTTTTCCTCATTTATTTCATTAAAAATGTTTTATCTTCAAAAGGTGTGACACACAAATGTATACATGTATAATATTAATTAAGATTTTTTTTTAAACAAAGGGAAAGATGTTTCTTCCAACAAACTTAAGATTAATTTTTAGTAAATATTCCTGTTGGAAATCCTCAGATCCTAGATGTATTTATGATATAATCTTTATTGGGCTCTATCAAGTTTATTAACAAGCAATTTATAATTTCTATATCATTTGATTTTGTCATTTCTATATCATTTGAGCACATTTTACTGCACAGTGTATCAGTAATTTTTAAAAGCAGGTAACAAAGGTCTGAAAGATGTCACCATGGGCAGGACACCTAAACCACACAGACCATAGAGGCTGTGTCTGTCATGTTTTATTGAGCCTTTTTCAAACGTGAAAGCAGCAGTTTGATCTGGAGCTTTTATTTCAGCTGTTTCCTGTGGCAATTTTGTGTATTCCAAAGTGTTATCAAACATCCAGGGATGCTGTAGTTCAGCACTGCACCTCGTGGTTCAAGGGGATGCATTAATGCTCTTTTATTCACAGCTTATCAAACAWCTGGAGGCTCTGAGTGTGCTAAACTATGTTACAGCACAGAAATAGTGCCCTGTACAGGATTGTAGTACCCTTACAGACTTCATAAGAGGCTTTAAAGTACAAATCAAGGAGAGACCTTCCTTTTCTTTCACAAATAAAAGCTCTGCAGACCTTCTAAGAGTTCCCTAAATATACCCATTCAAAAAGCTGCTACTGCACTAAAGAAAGTCTGAATAGTGCAAAGCACATTGTCTAATGTTCTAAATTATAAATTAAAATTWGATTTCCCACAGTATAATTCTTTTTATATCAGTATGTCTTGGCTGTAAGCAAACATGAGCAGGGGTTAACTTGAAGTAAATGGAAAACTTCTGCATTTTATGAAATAGTTCACCTTAGAGTCTTTAGAGTATAGCAACTGTGCAGCTGTATTTCTATTTTTATTTACATTCCTATAGAAAAATTGTGAATTGGGATGAAGAAACTTGCTTTTTCTATTTTGATTTGGGAGTAGCACAATCTCTCAGTTTGTAAAGAGCTGCAGCCTGATAATGTCATGGCCTGTTCACTCCCATTGCCAGCCCCAGGAGCAAAGGCAGCCCCACACATCCCAACCCTCAGGGGTTTGGGGCAGGGCCCTGAGCTGCAGGAGGAGCTGAATGGGCTGGGCAAAACAGAGATGCACATTAGTCAAAGTTGTATTTAAAATAAAAAGATGAAAAATCTTTAAGTTCTTTGTAAACAAGTGCATAATTTATACTCTTTGTAGGACCATGTTTTCAGATCAGGTTATTAATATTGGAAGCAAAGTCTTAATTAAAAGAAAAATTTAAAAGGCTATTTAAAGCCCAGTGAAACAGATCTGAGCRTTTTCACTTGGCTGAGTGGCTGCATGGCAATAAACAGGAGACAACCAAAGCAAACAAAGCAAGTCAACTGTGAAGCAACTGAACATSTAAAAAAGTGTGGTTTAAATCTAGAGAAATGAAATGAAGAAATTTTTTGCAGCTCTGGTGGAGCTTGTTAAATGGAGAAAAGAAAAAGGTTCCTGGCCTCTTGGTTGTTTGCAAAGCAAATTGTTTTTTTCATGTATTATGTGATKAAGGTAGAAGGGAAAGGGGTGTTATCATTTAGGGCCTGGGGAAGGATGTGCTGTGTCTGATCAGGAGTGGGTGCAGTCCTTAATTCAGAACCAGGAACTGCCTCAAAGCCACAGGCTGGAGCTGAAGCTGCTGTGCACAGGAAAAACCACCAAACCCCTGCCCAGCCCAGCAGGGAGGGGCTGTTACATTTCCTGCCTGGCACTGCCATCACTCAATTCACCAGAACAATTTTAGGGATTCCTTCCCTGATCCCACAGCTTTGCCACCGAGGTTATCATTGCACTGGGCAAGCAGGAAGGGCCACAATGAGCCTTTGGGGTGGGAATTGWTGGTCCTGGAGGTAAAAATAGTCTGATGGCTGAGGTTTTGTSCCTGCTGGGTGAGGGGGTGGTTTTCCTTGGTTTGGGTTTTTTTCTGGGTTTGCACACAGAGCACATGAGGGGAGAGTTCAGTACATCAGTGGCACTTGGAGATTGTGTCCCACAGGGATTCTCCAGTGTCAGCACARAGCAAAACTTAGCACAGTAAAACCAGGTCTGCCTGAAGGGCTTCTGTTATAGAATATTTACTGTTGTGCTGATAAAACAAAGCTGTTTGCTCMAGAGGAAATAATTTTACAGGAGAGRAGGGAGTGAAATTTCATTAAGAGATTGGCCAAAAATAAACCGTGAAGTAGGAGTGAAGGAGGGCTCCCAATATTCATGGTGCCTTCAGCTGGGGAGTGCCTACAGTACAAAYAGGGACAGAATCTTGCATAATGCATGACTCTGCATTCTCCTGTACTGAACATAAACTGGAACATGAGGATTTAAKGCACGGGAATCTGGAGTGTCAATAGGAATTATTGGAATAGGTAAAACCCCTCAATATTTAGCAGTTTATATTCTATTCATGTGCCTGGATTTGGAACGGGCTGTTTTCTTGCATTTGTGTTTGATATAAAGAGGTCATGTTAAATATTGAAACAGGTTATCTACAAAGGGCAGGCAATATTTTCTCACTTGAGGATTCTGAAGAATGAATTCAGCAGCTCACCTGTCTGAAGCAGTTTAGCAGCTCTTGCCTTGGCATGTGGAGCTGGAGCAGCTGACCTGGCAGGTACAGGGCCAGTGCTTGCAACCAGGAAAAGTCTGAAGGCAACAGTGGAGAGTGTTAGAGCTGAAGATTCTGTATTTGGGATGACCACATGGAGAACCTATAAGGAGATATAGTGATGTTACTCAAGAAAAAATGCTAGGCAGGCAGGTCTGAGGTTAGACCTTTCCCATTAGACCATTACAATAGATGTTTTATTGGTGCTTTTTCTTTGATTTCTTKGTTGCATTTTGTATCAATAAAAAGTCTGATAGGTGTGCTACAAACTGCTAATTTTTCCCTTTTCCATCTTTTTGTTTGTTTGCTCTCAATATTATTTAAAATATTATTCACAAGCATTCTGTTAATCGATTGCAGAACTGTCTCTAGCAGCCAGCATCACATGACCTCCACATTCTGGTGCCCACTAGTTAGGAGCAAGTTTTGTAGTTTAAGAGGATTTATTGTGGGTTGGCTCTGATGTTTCCTTTTCTCTGGAGGTGGGGAGTGCTGGTGGTGTAGGGCTCATCATCAGCTTCTGCTGGTAAAGACCAGGGAAATTCAGTCATTGGCATAACACACAGTAACATACAGCCCTAAAAAACATTGCAATGTTGGGACTTTTTCCATAACACACRGTAACATACAGTCCTAAAGAACATTGCAATGTTGGGACTTTTTCCATAACACACAGTAACATACAGTCCTAAAGAACATTGCCATGCTGGGATTTTTTCCATGTAACAATTGTTCAAGGATTGCCAGTTTCAAGCATGAAGATTGGACACAGTGTTCAGACCATGGCTTTGCAGCTGGGCTTTTGCAGGACAGCAGAACAGACACCATCATAAAGTGTAAATTCTGGACTGAGGGTGCAGGAGGTGAGATAGGTTCATCGGAAGAGGTTTAACTACAGTCAAAAATACTAAAAGTTGTGGAAAGTATTTTTGAAAATATATTTGCAAAACTGTTCCCTGAAGGTCACCCTGGTGTCTTTGGTTTAATTGTAACAAAGCCTGTGATTTTCTGTACTCATGCAACCTGTTCATGGTACCTCAACAGCTGTGTGAGAAGATGCCATCTGTGGTGCACAGGACATTTCCAGGACATTGTTGTTCCTGTTGGCAGCTGTTGTCATTGTCCAGGACAGAGATTTTCACTCTGCTGTCGCTGTCACCCCCTGTCTCCATCACCACAGTTTGGATCCGTGCTCTGCACAGGAGGAGTTTCCATGCAGGGAGGGAACACCCTGATCCACAATCCCCACCCAGGGCACTCCATCCCTCCAGGGCTTTTACTGCAGAATTCCTTGGGGAATGATCGGAGATGGCAGCGTCTGACACCTTCGGGGCCGGGCAGAGGCAACAAAAACCACTTTGTTGTGCTCGGGGATGGCTGCTGTGGAGCTGCTCTGGAAAATGCAGTTATTGATCCTGCTCCTCCCTCCCTTCCCTCCATTACCACTATATTTACAGGGCCTTAGGAAGGATTATAATTCTAAATCTCTGCTGTTACAGAGATTATAATTTATATATTAATCACCTATATTCCTGCCACAGGATTTTATTATAAAAGGCTTAGTCCAAAATCTAATGTCAGTTTGATTTGAAAGAATATGCCTATTTTATRTTTTCCTACCTTTCTTGCATGCATTAGTCTCCATTAATAACTCAGCAATAATGAGATGTATTTCACCATCACAAACAGGATTGTGCAACTTTTTTTTTTTTAATCTTCATTTAGAAATCCCAAAATCAAAATCCTCAGCGCATTACAAATACACAGGGGAAAAATATACACTGTGCAAAAAACTCCGTATGACAGTGACAGACATTGTAGAAACAATGCAGAGGTTAACAGGGAACGAAACCATGGGGAAATTTAGCTATCATTAATTATCCTGGAAATATTAAAGTGTTACATTTTTATATATTAAATATCTTCTTTTCATTGGAAAATCATCAAACTTCAGAGTTTAAAGGTCATCTTTGATCTTTCTAGCAGTAAATGGCTGCTTTCACAGGTGTGTGAAGGAGGATGCTGCAGCCTTTACTCCTGGATAATTTTTCAGGATAACAACCAAATCTCTTCTTCATGAGATGGCTGGAAATTTTTTACTAAATTAATTACACATTTTCCAATTTGACAGATGTCCAAAATATCTTGGAGTATTATTGTGGACTAAAGACAAAACAAAACCTGTCTCATAAAATCATTTTTGCATTTTTAAAACCTGTTTCTATATGTTCTTATTTTAGAGAGAGATTACTTTGTCTCATAGAGTTTAAATGTTTATTTTGGCGCTTMAAATCTTGTGAGTCCTTCATTTGAATATGGCTTTGAAATTGAAAGGATCCTATTTTTTAGCCATTTTGGGGTACTCTGAGGATGGAAGGAGAAATATTTTATGCATAAGGTGATGGAGTCTGTAGGGTGTGTCTCTGACAAAGGTAGCACTAAACTTGGTGCTATTAAATGAAAAAATAGACCATTTCATGATGAGGCTTCATTTTTCTCCCCACAACCCAAAACAAATTGAGAATTTTCCATTTCACTGCTATAATTGCCAMACAATACAGAGTGTGTGCCCTGCACATCAATAAACACGGCTTCTCAAGGGCTGAGAACTCCACACTGCTCAAAAGAATCTTTACAATATTTGGTAAGAGAGGGCAGCAAGGCCTTTCAGGGCATGAAGAACATTTCTGCTGATGAGCAAGGCTCTGACTGGGCTGCAGATTTGGGTTGGTGATTCTGCAGCTCTGCTCTGGGGCTGGGACTGCTCACACACACCCAGCCCTCCAAGGGCTTTGGAAYGAGCAGCTCTGCTGGGCAGAGCCTTTCCTGGGCCTCCAGGGGAGGAATAAATTAACAGCAGGATCATCTACAAATTACAGAGCATGTTGGAGAATTGCATTTGTTATGGGAAATTTCTGTGGTTCTGGGTGTTTTTTTGTGTGCTGGCATCTGTTTTTCCTGGTTATTTGCACACAAGAGGCTCTGAAGGACAGAGGCCACTGAAGTTTTGATGAACATTTTGTTTCCAGGCTGTTTAGTGTGGGTTCCCAACCCAGACTTGTATTGCAGCACACAAAATGAAGAGTTTGTTCCATGTTTTGTTCCATCCTTTGAGTCCCCACTGAATGCATTCACCATTGCCTTTCTGCTCTCTCACTGAGACCTGCCGCTGCTTTTAGACACAGCTGCATTTCTGAGTGTTTAAAGCTGCTGCTGACTGCTTAGAAGCTTCTGAAATTTGTATTTCCTTCCTTAAATTAGTGTTTCCTAGGGAAGTTTCTCTTTTCCCTTCCCATTTCTAGCGTGTGAGCAGTGCTTCATTCTGACTGCCTGGAGAATGAGTAATTTGCTTTTAGGAATGAGGGGCTGTGTGATGGTAGAGTGGGGGCTTTTTGTCTGCCTCAAGTACACAACTCAGTATTATCAGCTGTTATTTAGGAATGTATTTTGTCCTTCTTTCATGTGGAGAGCTCTTCACAAATTAYACTGGAATTTCATACAAATGGTTGTTGAATCAGGATCCAAAGAGGAGGCAGGAGATGCCTTTTGAAGTGGTGCTCAAATGCAGTGTAATTACATTGGTGCCTTTAGCTCCAAATTGTTAAGATTCACCAGCCATGTACTGTGTCCCCCCAGTCCTGCTTTGGTTCAGRGTTTAATGTTGTTGGCTAATGAATCTCTTGTGCATCTTTTTTTAGCAATATTTATTCAGCTGCTCTGTTATTAAAAGCAAATGTGTAGTAGTGGTTATTAAAATTCGTCTTTCTTGCTTTTCTGCTAATTGCATAATACTAATGATGTACATCTTTGCATAATATAAAAATCTCATATTGCTTGCATCATTTGGATTCATAAATTATTCTGCATTATGTATCATTTAATATTATTCCTGCTTTCCTCAAAATTATTATAATTTCCTTATATTCAATTTACAGCTGTGGAACAACTATTTTCATTTGGCTGTGGCTTTTATTACCCAAGATTCACTACAGCTAGAAAACTTCTCCCACGCAAAATACAACAAAATCCAGAACAAGTAAGCAAAAATATATACTTTAGTTTTGGTTTTATTATAAAACAGCAGCAAAGGTAATGATAAAAACACCTTTCATGTTCTTTTTTCCCTAGATATGGAGATATGAGACGTTTAATTGGCTTTGCTATCCGTGACATGTGGTACAAACTTGGTGAGTAGCAAAGAGAACTTCACTCACACTGAATCTGTCACATAATGTTTGTCCCATTGAAAAATATCTGACATGAAGTGCTTTTGTAAATATTTCTGCTGTTTGAAYTTGAAATATGTTTTCACTCCTGTGATTAAGCTTGGAGCTGACATGAGATACAGCTGGACTAGTGCCAGCATTTTATTTGAAAGAGAACTCACAACCTTCTTTAAGATTTCAAACACGACTGAAATCAGATTTCTGAAAACTTATTTTGAGACTGGAAAAACTTTTCCTGGAAAGGTTACTGCTGAGCCCGAACCTATGGTTCCAGAAATTAGGAGACCCAGATTTGGAAGCTGTTTGGGTTTAAATTCCAGAAAGGTTTTTACATTTGTTATCCAGCCAGTTTCTGCTATTCCAGAGTTTCTGCTATTTTCAGAGTTTCTCGTTAACTCCTTTGGAATCATTTGTTATTAACTGAACTTAGGCTGACTATTTGTTTTATCTTAGAAAATTTTTGTGTGGCAATTGTGTTGAAAATCAATGTGGCACCCATTGGAGAGGAACATCAGGCTCAGAATACTCCTCAGCCATGGACCAATCCTCACGGCTGTTAATGAGAATGTTTTTGTTTCCTTACAAGCTCCAGGCAGCACTGACACTCTCACACAGGTCCCTGGGTTTGCTGCTGCTSTGCTCCACACATCAGGGCAGTGTTTGAGCCACATGTGGGACCTGGCTGAGTTTTGTGCAGGTTTGGGTGTTTGGGGGCAGCTGATGTAAAACTGGTGCTACAAGATAATTCTGTGTGGGTTTAGGAGCTGAGTTGTATGGATTGATTTGGTGATTTTGGTGCATTGGTTGGTTTGATTTATTGTTGCAATGCCTGGTTTTATTCAGAAAACAAATCGTGTTTTCTCCTTCATAGGTTACACCATGTGGCATTTCCATGTGGTCCTCTCCTGCTGGCAGAATTTGGGGGGTTCTTAGGTTTCTTACTTCCTACTCTAAATACTTACAAGGAGATGTCAAAACATGAAAAACTGAATTCTGCACGAAAATGTCAACTCCCCTGGCATTTCTGCTTATTCCTGGCACTGAATKCTGGCACTTTAGAAGGAGACAGTGTCCATTTTCACATCCCAAAGTTCCCAGCTTTTGAGCAGGAACAGAGAGGAGTGACTGAGTTGTAAGACTTGACCAACACRGATGGCTTAAACACTGTTTTAAATGGTTACAGGTCCTAGATGCTTTCCCAAAAACATTTGGCTTTCTCCTCAAATACTCYATTTTTGGTTTTGTTTCAGGCCAGAATAAAATTTGCTTTATTCCGGGGATGGTTGGGCCCATCTTGGAAATGACTCTTATTCCAGAAGTTGAACTGCGAAAAGCCACGATCCCAATTTTCTTTGACATGATGCTGTGTGAATATCAGAGGACAGGAGAATTCAAAAAGGTAATTACAAACACTGCGTGAAAATGCATTTAAATGTCATGTGCTCAGTATTTCTGGTAAATGTTTGTCAAGTGAGCTTTTCTGCTCACAGAAAATGAAATCCCAAGTATAAAGAACCAAAGAATCAGGTTTTGTGCAAGTGCAGAATCTCCAGAGTGACTTAATTGGACTTGGGCAAAACTTTTTCCAGTGACAGCAACAAATAGATGGAATARCAAATAGGGGCCCAGGGAGATTGCAGGATCTTAATCCAAATTTTCAGAATTTTACTGGAAAGGGTTCTGAGCAGCAAGACTTCCACTGAAGTCAGCCCTTCATTAAGTAGGAGATAGAATTAAATGACCTCTAGGGATCCTCTATAATCTAAATATTTCCCTACACCCCTTCCTTGTGACATTGGAGAACCAAAACTTCCAGGCTTTATTACAGAGTAACTGACAGGAGCAACAGTGAATAGTTAATTATCTATTATCAGATTTATCAKGAAACTCTAACTTGTCTAAATGTTTATTGTGAGGAAAAATAACCACATTGAAGAATTGAAATTCCTGGAAAGTTTTCTGCAGTAATTCTGCAAAAGAAAAATAATTTTAAAGTCCCAACTGTGAAATATTTTTGATTGATGGAATAGAATTAGGGATGGTGGGACAGGGCACTGGAGAACATAATCTGAATTTCCTGCCACTGTTTGTGTGTCTGCCTGGGCAGWGGAGTATCCATCCCTGTCTGACATCTCCATTCTCACCGAGCTCTTTGGACTCCCCTTGCTCTGTGTTTGCACTCTGCCTTCCACAGTAAATTATAACCTGGATATTCAGTTTGTAGTTACACAAAGAATTGATTCAGAACAATCTGTGTAAGGGAAAATGGCAAACAAAAAGGCATCATTTTAGACACATGTAAATATAAATATCTCGTACACCCAGCTATGTTTAATACTTTAAATCATTTGGGGCATTTCTGTGTCAATGAAGTGTGGAACAAATGAGCAGATGGAATTTCCATTTTGGTCTGTATTCCACAGTGCAAAGCTTTTGGTTCAAGGCCAAGATTAAAAACCACTTTGTTTCTGTGCATCTGTTCCCTCCRTGTCCTGATAGTCCTATATTTGCCTTCTTAAAAATGTTTTCCTGTTCATGGCTTATACCTCATCTCTTGGGAGAGACACACAGATCTGTACAGAGCAGAAACCCTGAAAACTCATCAGTCATCCTGCCTGATGAGCAGGAGCAGCAGCCTGGGAGCCTGCGAGGGGCCAGGCACTCCAGTGGCCACTGAATCACTTCTCATGCCATAAAAATAACTTTCAGGTGGTATTTTGCAGTGCCAAGGAACAAGGACATGGTGTTTATTGCAGCTTAAGGAAAAGAGGGAGTTTTCATCAGATGGTGCAAAAACTGTTTCATAATTGAGCTGCTGAGTCTCATCGGACTCTGATGTTCTGCTTTAGAAATTGTGATCATTTACTCATCAAGAATCATGGGGTTTATCCTCTCCTTTCCTATGGATGAGATAATTAAGATAAACCACTTGCCTTTGTAAATTTAGCCATTCTAGTAAGTTTTTAAAAATATAGATTATAAAGAAAAGGCATATTAAGTTTTGTTTGAAAATTGTTACCATCTTAACTTAAATGGGCAAGCAATTAATATGAATGGATAATTACTGGATGCACAAACACATAAACTCCAGGTTTTGCTAGTGGACAATTTTCATTTGCAAATTGACATTTAGTAGTATAAAGGATGTTTTCTTAAAGCTTTAGTATAAAATTTTGAGAATGACAACATGTTATTTCAGGAGTGCCTGGGGCACTCAGGAGCCCAGRATGTCATTTGCTTAAAACATAATTTTGTGGGACTTTGAAAATAAATAATTTATTTCTAATCTAATCTTCTCTAATGAGAGAGGAGAAAAACAAAAAAGCACAAACAGAAACATCTTTACAAGCTGAGCCTGTACCAGCACAGGAACCAGAGTGCCTCCCACACAATTTAATAACCTTTCCCAAAAAGCCTGGYTTTATTAAAGTGTTGTGGTGCTGTGCTGGGACAGAGCTCCATTCCTGGGGGCACAGGGGATGTGTTGGGGCTGGGGGCTGTRTCCTGCTTTATGCACACAATACACRGGCAGTAAGGAGGTAAAGCCATTTAAATTCATCAAGCAGGAATTTTGTTTTATTCAGCTATTTCTAGGAAATTTTCTGATCTCAGAGAAAGCAAAATTCCACCTGTGGCTGTCTCAAGAATGATTTGCTGTACATATACATTTAATGGCTTGGAGCCTGTATGTAGGTGTACCACACAGTAAGACATTTTCTTGCAATYCCTTCTTCTACTTTGCACATGTAATTTCCATTTACCCAGAGCAGTGTTACATAAGCTTGTAATTTTAACTCTAATTGAAGATGTAGAGAGGGAGCCATTAATATCTACTAATTTTAGCTATCAAGGCTCTGTCTGTCATGAGCTCAGAGAGCCGGGAATCTTGGAAAGCCAATTTATTCATCTCTCAGTGTCTGTGGATTGACCCYGTCCTGTAAATGGATCCCTTTCTCCTTCAAACAAAAAGAGAAGCTSGTTGGACACACAGGGTTAAAAAAGTGCCATCCTCCAAATGCAGATAAGCCACCTTTCCTTTCCTTGAAAATCAGGCTGTGTGTTTATTAAGACTRTCCAAAGGAAGTCACATCACCAAGTGACCTCGTACTGCTTATTCTGACAGTGATCTGAGGCCAGGAGACAGAAAATGCTTGCTTTAAAAAAACACAGAAACAAACAAAACAAACAAACAAGGAAAATTAGCTCCTTGCAGAGTAAATGAAAATATCATTTAAATAAACATGGATTTGAGTTACGTTGAGGATTTAACTTGGCTTAGGAGAGATTAATTCATCTGTGTTTATATTTTTGTTCAAATAAATCATTCTGTTTGTGTTTGGTATTTTCAGTTCAGTGTCTCTCATGGGTTCTGCCAATTGCTGGAGCCATCTGGGGAAGTTTTCTGTGTTTGCTTTCCTCTGACTGCAGTGGGACCRTGACAGAAAGCAGTGCTGGCTGCTGCTGTGTGCTTGGGCTTTCCAGACTCATTGTTAGAGGACAGACAGTGATTTCTGCTGAGCCTGGGGCAGTGTCCTGCTGTTCTGAGCTCTCACAGGTGACTGAGTGACTGACTGAGGTGTCCTCAGCAAGCTCCTCTGCCACATGTGATTTATTGGCTTTAAACAGCCACATTTCTTTCTCTCAGTTCTTGAAATCTCGTTATGTGTAAGGGTTTCAGGAGGATGTGAGATCAGAGCAGAGMCTGAGTTTGTATGGTCTGGCTCTTCAGACAGATCCATGTGGAAAACATGGATGTGTTTTGTGGTTTGGTGTTGAGGAGCGTTCAGAGCTAGGAGGTTCCTTGGATCTGTTAGACAAGCAGGTGGGTTAAAAGCTAAATTGGTGCCAGTGACAATTAGGCACACTCTGTTTAAGTGAGAGGAGAAAAACACTTTCCAGGGCTTGATTTTGGCACTGAAGCATTAAAACTTTATTCTAAGTTTCTGCCAACTTTTTTATTTGTTTTGATCCAAACAACTGATTTTCCTCTTCTTGCAGCTTTTTGAGAAACTGCAGGACAGATGCTTAGGGAAAGTTTTTTGTTCAGATCCAGCAATGTGRAATTATTGCCTCTTCAAGAAGTAATCGATTCCCTACCTGCTGAATAAGTACTAGGAAGGATTTAAGAGGTGGATGGTTTTTAACTGGTGCTTGACCTGCACTACACTCACAGATTTGTCTTAGGACTGCAGTAAGTCCTCAGAAAATGTCTGGATTGGATGGTTTTGCTTAATTTTTCCTTGTCTTGAAGTGGCAATGCACCTGTACTTCCCATGTTAAACACTAATAACACATCCTGCTTACACATAAAAATTAATTCAGAGCCCTTTAAACTTCCTTTTCAGCCTGGATGAGACAGAGTAATTTTATTTCTTCTGTTAAGCTATTTTTCAATGATAGCTCTTTATTCTCTAATATTAGTATAATATGTACTGTTCCACAGGCAGTCTTTAATTTGTATTCAAATTACTGAGAAAGAACTAATATTAGAGCAGCAAAACCTGCAGGTAAGGAAGTGGTGGAAATGGCTCCTTCCAGAGGACTGTGTGCCTGCACTGCTCCTGCTCTGAGCCCAGGTTTTTGCTCTTTGTGCCATCAGTTTAGAGGTTTGCCTGYTCAAAATGCTCTTTCAGAGCTCCTTCAAAGCAGCAGCAGCCACTTCAGAATTCTGTCTCAAGAGCTCTTTGCAGGATCAGGGTGGCCAGCAGGTCTGGGTTGGACACTGGAGGAAAGAGGAATGTTTGGCCTTTGTTTTTGAAAGTTATGGATCATTTTTTTGAGTGGAGAGTTTGAAACATGACCTACTTGAAGGAAGTACATCTGGTAACATATTTTCAGTTAGAATGTCATGTTCTTTGCAAGTGGAGGAATTGTCCTCTCTAAAACACATCTGAAGAGATGAGTGACCTGCTTGGTTCTCTACGAGGAAGGGAGGTTTTCCCCTATGTAATCCTGGCTTGGCTTCTTCCACTCAGAGCTGAATACTTCCATGAGGAAATATTTAAATAAGGTAAAATATTTTGCATTGCAGTTATCAGAAAGTACCATATCTGAAACACTCCAGTAATTCTTTGTACCGTGAAAGGCTTCTGGTTCTCTGATGGGATGATCTGTAGCCCAGCCTGCCAAAGCTCTCAATTACACCGAAATACTCCAGGGAGAAACAGAATTATTCATGTACTGACAATCGTGTGAAATTTTGTATCAAAGAAAAACGTGAAAACTCGCTGCATTAGCACAGTAATGAATTCTGTCGTTTTTACAGCAGTTTTAATAATTAGATCTATGTAAAGCAACTGAGCTTTGCTTCAATGTAGGTCTCCAGTAATGCTCTCTCTGTGCCTCRTGATGTGTTAATGTCTTGTCAAGAACCCTGAGGTAGATTTTCCTGCATCTTCTGAGCAGGGCACATTTATTTGGATGAGGACAAAACTGTCTGTAGCTGCACACAGACTCTGAGGTTGTGTCTCCTGTGCTCAGGGCARAAGATTTGTGAAAATCTGTCCAAGCTTTCAGCCGTTCTAAAAGCCCAAACCAAACTATACCCAAGCATTTCACCCTTGGGAATATATAACATAACTTTACCAGGTACATTTTTGATGCCATGGATAGCTGCTCAGTGTTTTGGTTTTTCTTTCTTTATTAGTTTGAAAATGAAATCATTTTGAAGTTGGACCATGAGGTGGAAGGAGGACGAGGGGATGARCACTACATGCAGCTGTTTGAGTCCATGTAAGTAGTGCATGAGGATAAATAGAATAAATGCCTTCAGGACATGTTTCTATCTCATTGTTCCCAGTTTTCAGGTTGGTAACCTCAMCCAAAATAGAATCTTAGCAACTTTTTTTCATGAGGGGACTGGAAATAGCATAATGTTTCAGTACACCTGGTTTGAATTGCGGTTTTACTCATTGAAATTATTTTCCTGGTTGCTTTTTATTGTTTTGTGCTTCMGCTAAATTATGAAGAAATTATACCTAAGCTGCATTTTCACATGCATCTCGATGTCTAGATTGGACTCCAAGAGATGATTGTCTGAATTTAAATGAGGCTTTGTGATGTCATGTGCATGTTTGGCTCCCTCAAAGCCTGCTGCCCTGAATGGATTGTATCTCTGTGTAGGAATAGCAGTGTTTGCAATGTCACATCTCTCATCAGATGAACTATGAACGTTTTGGGTACTCACACAGGGGACAGAAAGAATCATTTATTCTGTTTCTTTTTGCAGCAGCTTTTATCAAATTTGAATGTTGCTGTCTGGTTTCCTTCAGGCTTCCCCTTGGGGTAAACAACCCCAGTAGTTCAGTTTATCACATGGAATGCTTTCTGGAYGTTCCTACAATGTCTCCATCTATTTTGCAATACTACATTGCCTTAAAGCTGGAGAGAGTGTTCAAACTGAGACGTTATCAATGCAAAAAGCACAGTTTCCCTCAGATCTTGTGCGTGAGACCCTTTGAAGTTCCCTCTTTCTGAGCTGTGTAACATTGTTTGCTTGCCTTGTTTGCACTTTGCTCTTTATTCCAGCACTTTTCTTGGAAAGTGGCGCTATCCAGTTAAACCCCATCTTTCAGCAGTGCAGTCAAGGAGTGTCATCAAACACAGCACAGAGCTTTTGATCTCCCTGCCTTCCCAAGGCCCCCCTCTTGCTTTGACATATCTGTTTTTTTCCCCTTGGTACTGTCCCACTTTCTGGAAGGCCTCAAGTTCAAAGTTTCCACATTTCTAAAGATGACACTTCATCTTATGTTCAGATGATMTTTTTTCTCCCATCCTTGAAGTTGTTGAATGACACCTGTAGAAGGGCAGTTGAAGCAGAGGCTGGTGACCTGCCTGTGGTGGGACCTGTTCTCTCACTTGCTCTGCTTTGAACCTTCCTGCCTTTACACCTTTCAAGGCAGCGATTTCAARCCTCTGTCCCAGTTCCCAGTACCAGCTGGAAGTTGAACTGGGCTCCACATTTATTCACTTGGTCACATTCTCATCAGCTGATCTCCTGTCACTGCCTGTTCCCTGCACAGCTCCAGGTGTCACCTGAGGGCAGATATTGAGCAGCACCTCTGCAGCCCATGCATGGCAACTTGTCAATGCCCATGAAAACAAACTGAACAGGTTCAGCAGAAGTTTAATAAATCCCTGCCTTGGATTTGTCCCTAATGCCGAATGTCAGTGTGCCCCGTGCTGGTGAGTGCTGCCCTGGGCAGGGAGAGGCTGCTCCCAGCAGAGAGGGGACAATGCTTGGGGAAGTGCAGGGGAATCAGTCCAGCTCCATGGACACTACTTGTGCTGTGCCACTTGTCCTCAGGCTCAGAAAATGAATTCTGGCATCTTTTAGTTACTAACACAGGCACAACATGAAATGGCATTTGGCAGCTTTCCAGTTCCCCATCTTTGCAGTGGCCCATGCTATGCAGTTGTTTTCTCAAGCTGTATTGCAAATATTATTTTATTTTAAATTTTCTTTTTTTTTAAGCTTTGTTTAAAAATTCAAAGGTTTCTTGCTCCCTCCTGGGGGTAAAAAAATCTTCTGAAGTTTTATAGTCCTTTTTACTGGGATTACTGTATAAAGCTGAGCAATACAACTTTCTAAATCTTCCCTCAAGAGACAGGTATTCCTCTCTCCTGTTCTTTTTGTAGGTCTCCTTTAAGTGTACTCTGGTTCACCTTTCTTTAGTGACTGGAGTTATGTACTTTGTCCTGGGTGAGACCCTGCAATAATTTGTAGTTTATGTCAATGTTTTCTACTTGTATTGGAAAAAAAATGTGATGTCTTGGTGCCTGGTGTTCATTGTGCAGTCAGGCAACGTTCACAGGTCTGCCTTGTTGGCTGTTACTCCAAGGGAACCTGGGGCAAAAATCCATAATTGTCACTCAAATGGTGACTGTACTTCCCTTCATTAGTGTCTCACACTGTTTCTGGTACTTATCCATGTAAAATAACACCATTTTTCCTGTATAATATTCCAGCCTCCTACATGGTTCTGAGACTTCCTTTCTTTCCCACAAACATCATTTAATGTGCTCCAACCTTTTCTGTCAGTTGTCAGCTCTKCAGCCCCTTTAGTGTTTCCATTCCATTTACGGTGTATTTTATGAGCCATGTGTCAGTTATTGATTTAAATATTTCAGTTTCAGACCAGTCAGACAAGAGCAATTGGAGTATTCTGGTTTTATCTGTTGGCCTCTGTCCCTCCTATCTTACACRATATAAATGTTCTTTCAGACACCCACATACACATTCCCTCTGTCTCAGCACAGTACCTCCATTGGAGCTGTACAATCCAGGGAATAAACTTTAGATTCTGATTTTACTTTGCTTGAGTTAGAACTTTATTCCTGGGTATTCTGCAGAGGTTGCATTTTAGGCCACAGCTTCAAGGATTTATTTGCAATTGAAGTCAATATGAACATGTATTTTCTAAAGAAGGTTCAAATAATTATGAGAAGCAAAAAAATTATTTTTGCTTTAATTATATATAGCTTGTAATTGAAGCTTTGTATACCTTGTAATTAAAGCTTTAAAAATATTATGCCTAAAGATTAATAATATTTTTCTTTTTACCCSGGTGTCTTGAAAACAATGATGTAGAGCTCAATTGATAATTGAGCACTAAGAGGTCAGAGCCTTCCCAGCTACCAATACAAAGCAGAAATGTCTTGGGGAAAATTAATTGCATCTCTGCCTGACCCAGTGCTTGCATCTCTATGTGAACCTATAAGTTGAGAAAACAAGCTCTTAAGCAAAGAAAGAAAATAGTCCTTAATGAGATGCTGGTAATCATTTAAAGATGTTTAAACAGTTAAACTCTGAAAACAAAGACAGTGAAATCTCTACTCCTAAATCACTTCAGCCATTTTTAGAAACAGTATATGCTAATTCTTTGTTAATGCAAATTGAATCTGACGATGTCAAAATATAAAACTTCCTTTCCTGTATTTTTATCAAAAGAGATCAAGCTGCTCTTTTCATTCTACAGAAAACTGATTGTTTGGTAGTGCTTGTTTCTCAAAGAAAAATTACTCTGGTGATGTCCTTTTTTAGTCAAAATTGTAATTTTTTTTTTTTCATTTTACCTTCCTACTCAGATGTAACAGTAYCAAGAGAAAGAAAACATTTTTGTATTTTATGAGAAAGGAAGGTGCAGTGTTTATTGCAATAGTGTGACATTCCAGAGACTTGAGTTTACAATGGCACAGATTCAGGTTGGTCTCTCCTGAAGTTGAGGGTATTTGAATTCAAAGTCATTTTCAGACAGGAACAGTAAATGTTTCTGATTTTCCATTTGATTTACATGCTCTCTGTCTTCTGGATATCTAAATTACTAACTCACAGAGGGAATTCCCAGTGCATTCTGCAGTTGATTTAGCCCTAATTCAGTATTTGCCTTCAGAATTGTACCAACTCTGCTGTGTGTTTGCAGCCTTTCAGAGTGTGCCCATCAGCACCCTGGCATTTCCAGCTCGGTGAGAAGCTTTGTGATCCTGGTGAAAGGGCTCTTGGAGAGGCTGCTGGATTATCGCACCGTGATGAGTGATGAGAGCAAGGACAACCGCATGAGCTGCACCGTGAACCTGCTGGTGCGTTCCCTGCTGGGGATCTGGGCTCAGGGAGGGGACAGCATTACAGTCATGAAACGTGAAGGGACATCTTCCTGGGGCAGGAGTGGGTGACAACATTCCCTAATGATTTAAACTCTGAGGCAGGAGATTTTTATCTCTATTTGCACTCATGCATTTGCAAGTCTGAAAGCAACGTTCACCCATTTCTTCCGTTCGTATGTTTTATCCACTTGGAATCTGTGGATAAATAAGGAAGTTTGCTGCTCACATGCCTGTGCCTATTGACAGGCTTCATGTGACAGTGGGTTCTTGGCAGAGTCAGGTTGTGATGTGGAACTGACCCATCTGCTGCTTCAGCATCTCAATAATTACAGTTTTCAAATGTGGGCAGGAAACCTGCAAGGCACGGTCACAGTAAAGTGCCAAGAGGTTTGAGGCTCTGATCTGGTCCTGGGCCACTCTGTGTTCTTTTCTATTCCTATTCTGTAATGAGGATATCACATGCAGAGATTCCTCCTCCAGGGAATTCCTCAAAACTGAGGAGGAACATCCATCAACTTTGAAGTATTCACTCACATGCTCTCTGTTCCTYGATAATCACTGAGCTAAATTTCTGCAACTCTTCAGGAGACAAWTCTCATCACATATTTTGAACAACCTTAGCAACACACCTGCAACACCTGCAAACACGTTATGTTGACAAAAAATCAGCTTTATTCCTGGAATTGGCCCCTGTAGAGGTATTAGTGCTCCATATCTACGTGCTACACATCTGCTTCAGTATATAMCAGCTTCCATCAAGTGTAGCTGGAGCATGTGCTTTATGATGTTAATGCATTTGGATAACCATAKTTTCCTCTTCTCCAATAGAAAAACCTCCAGTAATGATTTAATGATGAACTAGAAGTATACATATGTAAAAAAACASACATATTATTAATAAAAATGTTAATTGAAGAAGTAGTTCCAGGTTTAAACTTCAGATAGTCTGTAAATAATCTATTTCTCATGCTGTCTATGCTTTCTAACTAGCAAGAAAAGCAAAACCTCAGTGTGTGCATGCATATAACATTTTGTCAGAGGACATTAGGAGGTAACTTTGAATATTTTTATCCCCTAGAATTTCTACAAGAACATTAACCGTGAAGAGATGTACATCAGGTATGGCAATCATTCTGTGGGATCTCTTTTGGAGAGGGCAATAATATTGTCTTGTGAATTCTGTTTTTGTGGTTGGGCTTGGATTTCTGTACCTTATGTTACTTTATCATCYACAGTGACCCTGTGGTGGCCCTGGCCTCATCTGCATTCTCACTCTGTTAGCTCAGCCTTCGGCAATTGGGAATCTATGCTGTGTATTCAGCAGCAGCATTGTTTTCCACAAGAATTAACTTCTAATTGCTCGACTCACTCAACATTCATGGTCTATTGTTTAAAATTAAGAAAATGCAGATAGATTTGAGGCTTGAGGGAGGGGGCATCATGCWTTTAGGATGGCAGAGAGAACATTCTAGCTTTGTAGAATGGCCCAGTCTGCTGAGTCCCCTTCAGCATGCAACAGTCCCCAGGCAGATTACAGCAGAGGCATTTTCTGTGAGAGCTGCACTGCCGAATTCTTCAGATGTGACACGGTCGCTTGCTGTGTCCAAGAGTTTTGCATATGGGCTGCAGCAGATCTCACTGCTTCAAAAGCTTCCAGATTCCCATCTCTCCTCTCCTGTAAAATGTGCAGAGCAAAGCCCAGAGTCCCAGCTGAAATGAGCCCTGGAGGTGATTCAGAGATGACCCTGGAGCTGGGAGCCGGATCGGATGGGGAGAACAACGCTCCCACTTTGGGCACTGCCCCGGGAACAACGCTCCCACTTTGGGCACTGCCTGGGAACAACGCTCCCACTTTGGGCACTGCTGAGGGAACAACGCTCCCACTTTGGGCACTGCTGAGGGAACAACGCTCCCACTTTGGGCACTGCCATGGGATCAACGCTCCCACTTTGGGCACTGCTGAGGGAACAACGCTCCCACTTCGGGCACTGCTGAGGGAACAACGCTCCCACTTTGGGCACTGCTGAGGGAACAACGCTCCCACTTTGGGCACTGCCAAGGGAACAACGCTCCCACTTTGGGCACTGCCATGGGATCAACGCTCCCACTTTGGGCACTGCCGAGGGGAACCTTTCTGCTGGGCTGGCAACTGGCAGTGGGAAAGCCTTTAACTGCCACTGTAAGGTGTCAGAGCTGCTGTGTCCCAAACTCCCGGTGTGAGAGAGAGGATGGGATGTGCTTTCCCTTCCTGGCTGCTGCAGATGCAGCTCAAGGCCCTTGGTGAGCAGTGACCGAGCTGGGAGCAGCAGCACAGCCTGGGGATCAGGGAGAGAATCCAGCTTAGAACAGCCCTCCTGCCCCAACCCCTCCCTGGCTGCACAGGGGCTGCCTGGCCTTTCTGCCTGCTATTGTCCACCTTCTCCTTTCCCCTGTTATCTGCTGTGGGTGCTCCTGTAACCATGGAGAATGTGTACCTGCAGGGGGGAGTGCTGCCCCGAGCAGCYCTCCAGGAATATCAGACCTGGAGGTGTCTCTCAGACCCTGAGTGCAGTGATCCTCCCTCTCTGAGCAGGAGCTGACAGCAGTTCCCAGGAGGAGGAGGGCTCTTTCTCCTCCTTTGTGCACAAAGGTTCAGCCCACAAAAAGATCAAGAGAAGTGTGAACAAATGCACAGAGCTGTACCCACACCAGTGTCCTTGAAGACTCTTTGGGGAGCCACAGTGGGACATCTGTGGAGTTTCCTGTTATCTGGAACATTTTGACACTCAGTATTCCAGTCATGTCAGTATCTAGTCTAATCCTTCCTCTCTCCTCTATCAGGTATTTGTATAAATTRCGAGATCTTCATTTAGATTGTGAGAATTACACAGAAGCAGCATATACCCTTCTACTCCATACGTGGCTCCTGAAGGTTAGATTTTCTAAACTCAATATATAATTAAGCTTTTGCAATTTTCAATTTTATATACTAAAGTGAATGTCTTAATCTCTGATTTACTGCATATTAGCTATTTTCTACAGGGAWATTCAAGTTTCTAGTTAGAAATGCTGCAGTAGGTCATACAAAATTAACATTAAGTGTTGAAACATATTTTCAGTAGGTGATTAAAAGCCATAYATTGCTAAAACTAAATATAAATAGTTTTTCTTTATAGCGTGGTTTTCATTTTGGTAGTTTCTTACTATCCCAACCAYAACAGTTATGAAAATTAAGCTCAATTCCAGCTATCACAAGGGAACATCTAACTTTCAAATAGTATGGATTACACTACCAAGTTACGTTGGCTTTGTTTTGTAACTGGCAATTAATTATCTTTCTCTACAGCTATTGTTCATCGCCAATGTAACTGATAGTATTCATTTCCATTACAAGRGAACATTCCAAATTTAAATATTCTTCAGCAAAAGCTGAGTTTTCTTATGGAATAKACTTTATTGYAGAGCTATAATAATTTGYGCTATTTTGYTTAAACTTCATTTTGATTTCTTAAGATTGTACAAATATGAGGTACAATRTATGTATTGGTATARACAAAAATAATAGTATATGAAATATTTTAATGCAAAAAATCTAAACCAAGTCAGTCAAGATGATACCACCAAAAAAAAAAAAAAGAAATAATATCATGTCCAGTGCTGGTTATCCCATGAAATGCAGCACTTGTCTGAACTGGAAGGAATGCACTCCCAGTGCTTTTCCCAGTTTCTCTGTGGATGGGTAAAAAAGAAGACACTTGGGAAGAAARCACTCAGAAGAACTCAGGGGAGCAGACCTTGTGKAAGGGGGGACTCTGATGTGAAACATTGAACTTGAAAATTCTTTTTGATGTGTTCTCCTTCCCAGTGGTCGGATGAGCAGTGTGCACCCCAAGTCATGTCAACAGAGTTCCAGTGCTCACAGACCTACAGACACTTGAAAGAGAATTTGTATGAAAAGATCATAGAATACTTTGACAAAGGAAAGGTAGGTCTGGAGAGTTCTTCCCCTCCAAATCTCTCTGCTGTGCTGCTCTGAATAGTCGTGTTTAATGAATGTGCCCTGTATAAAATATTTGTGAGGAAAAGCTTCTTTGAAATGTGGGTCAAGTAAAAATTGTCCTGAAGGCTTATTCCCAGAGAGTATCTGTTCCATAGGAACATGTTCTTCCAATAACCTCGTTCACATAGAAAGAGGGCTAATGTTTCAGCACATTGTCACAAGCATCTCTGTCAGGCACTAATAAAATACAACAAAAAATGTTGAATCTCCTTCCCTTTACAAAGAAGAGTATGGGCTACACAGATTCCATTTCTAAACCACTTGGCYCTTATCTCCGAAAACCTCAGACAGTTCAAAATAGTCATATTTGTTTCAGAGAGGACTGAGAATTGTACTCTAAACTTAAAATGTGGTAGATTTATGTTCAGTACCTCGGTTTAGTTCAATTTAAGACAAAAGAAAGTTAATAAAATTACCTGTCACTGCAGTGGCATTAGAGTTGAGAATTTTGGAAATAAAGCAAAGGACTAGAAAGCAGAAGGAAASTCTGCAGTGCCAGATAATTAATCTCATGACCCAATAAGACCTTTAAGTCATTTTGTCTTGTTCAGACCCAGCCAAAGGTACGAAGTGGGGAGGCAATTCATTACTGCTTCTTGCAAAAGTCCTTGCTACAATTCACAAGGTAGAAAGGTTGAGCTTCAGCATCTCAGGTTTTCTGTTGGCATCTGCAGTGACTGCACTGCAGCAGTGCCCACCCACTGTCCCAGGAGAGCCAAATGCTCACAGTTCCTGATCTGCAGCACCCAGACCCACCCCAGGGCTGGGAACACCAGGGCTGGGAGCACATGGCACCACATGAACATGGGACTGATRTGGGACTGCCAGAGTCCTTCCAGCAGCAGAGAATTGTGCTCAGGGACCCCTTTGTCTCCTCTGCTCTGAATCAGTGAGCAGACAGACAGAATTTGAGAYATATCCTTACAAAAGAGAGTTTGTWCCTGCTTAAGGGCCACTTCTGTTCTGTTTTTGTGAAGTGCCCACAGCAGATGAGAAAAGCAGTCCTGCTCTTTCAGTGCCAGTCATTGTCARAGGCAGCTGTTTGGTGTGGAAAGAAAGAAGCTGCTCCTCTGGACAAGTGGCAATTTAAGGCTTGTAGTTATTTGGCTGATGGGGAGAGCTGTCACAGCCAAGGCTCCCTGTGATTATGGATGTGCAGAGTGTTTTGGTAAATGGTGTGTGTGTTTTAGGTGTCAGGTGTCAGTCCCCTCACACACTGCTCTGTGCTGGGGGTGTGTTCTGGATGTTATCACCTCAGTGATTTACCCCTCTTTTTTCTTTAATGTATCTGAAAGAGTAGATGATTTTTTAAAAAAATGTTATTCTAATAATAAAGCAGGTTTACTTATTCCTTCCTGTAATGAATCATAAAACACTTTTATTTTTTAACATTAATCTGCTTTCCTTAAGTTTATGATTGCCCTGCATCTTCCACTCTAAATRTGCAGTTAATAAATGACTGCACTTTAAAGACAGCATGATCAATAAAACTGCAGTTAAGCTCTGATGCATTAAAACTTGTTTGTTGGTATTGGATTCACTTCTTGAATGTGTGTTTGCATTGCAGATGTGGGAAGAAGCCATATCTTTATGCAAAGAACTTGCAGAGCAATATGAAAAGGAAGTTTTTGACTATGAACTTCTAAGTCAAAACTTGGTAAGTTTATGTACAGATCTTCCAGTTATTGCAGTCACAGAAATTAGTGTGTTTTAGCTCTCAAACGACAGAGCTGCCTAGGACTTTGTGGTCTACAATGGATTTTTAATTCATTTGTTGAAGAGTTGCTGTTTCACTGTAACAATCCAGTGGTAAAATTTCATAAGGAACTGTCAGTTGAAGCTGCATGAACATCTGTTTATTGAGGTATTTTGGAATGTCTGTAGATGAAATAAACATGTTCTTACTCCAGAAAATTTAAAAGTCACGTTTTAAAGCCTCTGTGCTGCTTTAGGGTAGCAAGAACACCTGTGTGAACTTTTTCCCCTAAATTTTTCTTTACATTTTAGCAGCTTGAATGTGGACAAGCCTGAAAAATTCTGTCCTAATCAGGACTGTGGAAGTATTACAGCACAAGGAATTAGAACAGGGTCCAAAGGCTGCAAGGAAAAWTTTGAAGGAAAATGAAGTATTCAGTTTTTTKTTTTCACTAAAATTGAATGAATCCAAAAACTATCCTGCCCCTCACATACCTTTTCTACTCCAAAAATTGCATGTTTGCATGATTTTTAACAAATTTTCAGGGCTCATTCAATAGATATCCCTGAWTTTTCCACAAAGAAACTATGGGAATCAAAGCATGATGTTCTTGAACGGTACTATGTTCAAGAATGTAACTATGTTACTACTATAAAGAAAGTTTATTTTGCTCCATTTTTATCATGAAATAAAAGACATTTTTGCCAGCTTAAATTACAGTGCAGTGTTCTCACAGACATAACACCTAAATGACACTTGGGACTTGATGGAAGAAATTGTTCTAAGCCCTTTACATGGGGCGTGCCCTTAATATGAGGCTGCAGTAAAATCTGGAGTTGATCCCACACCTCAGGAAASTTTTGAGGCAGGGAGTTTTTCCAAATGTATTATTTCAGTAACAATATCAGTGGCCAAGGATGACTTTGGTGTTATTTTTCTCCTGAGTTGAGGGTTAGCCCAGCTCTGAGGTCACATATTGAAGCTGAAGCCATACCCACTTTGCTGTGTATTATATTTGCATATAAATGTGTTTAATGCCCCACAGCAGTGCCCTGTGTGATTATTTATTATTGCTGTAGCTCATCAGCTGATAACTGATAGCTCTTGCACRTGTAGCACTGCTGTAGAGGTTAAAAAGTAATAGATAAATCCCCCAAACACCAGTCATTACAGTTGCTTTTGCTTTCAGATCCAGCAAGCAAAGTTCTATGAAAACATCATGAAAATTTTGAGACCTAAACCAGACTATTTTGCTGTCGGATATTATGGCCAAGGATTCCCAACATTTCTGAGGGTAAACTTGCTTAAATTCTTACTTTTTCATATATTTTAGTTCTTCTTAACTTTTCTGCTTCATTTATTTATTTACTCCAGAGTCTCTGGAGAGACAGTGCTGCTTTCCAGCACCTGATCAGAATGGGGTTTGGCTTTATAGCTGATCATTCAGAAAACAGAAACTCCCATTCCAAAATCTGGATGTTGCTGTGTCTTTGTGTGGAATACCCAAACCTGTAACTCCTCAGCAGCAGCCAGGCCAGGCAATCAGCTCCTTATTCCTTGCAGAACAAAGTGTTCATCTACCGTGGCAAGGAGTACGAGAGGAGGGAGGATTTCCAGGCCCAGCTGATGAGCCAATTTCCCAGTGCTCAGAAGATGAACACCACAGCAGCACCAGGAGAGGACGTGAGGAGCTCTCCTGGTCAATGTATCCTTCAACATGTGCGAGATTGCAGTGGGAATCTCATTCTTAGCATGAATTCATCTGTGTGAAACAATAATTCCCTGAAAAGGTTGAAAGTTCACTGATGTGGCAGCTTGGTTGGCATGTCCCATGTGTCTGTTAGGGTTTGTTCCTAAGAGAGCTCCTGTTGTTCTGGCAGTTCTGAGGAGTCTGTCTCTTTCATTCGTCATTAAAATATTTAGGTTGGAAAAATCCTTTAAGATTGAGTCCARCTATAAACCTTGTTCACCCATGTTYTCRAGTGCCACATCTACATGTCTTTTACATCCCTCCAGGGACGGTGACTCAGCCACTTCCCTGGGCAGCCTCTGCTAGGCCTTGACAGCCCTCTCGGGAAGGAAATTCATTGTAGTTCATACTTGGTTTAGCTTAATTTTCTTCAAATTGCAAAACCAGTGTCACACACTTGAAAAGACCCAGTTTAAAGCAGCAAATTGTTTATTACCTCCCATTCATAGCTCTTATTGATATCTCGATATTAAATCCATGTCTTCCTTGAACATTGYTCTGACTGACACCACACTTGAGTATCACCTTTATTTTTTGGCAACATAAACATGTCTGAAGTACCTCAGAAATTTTCTTAGGAAAATTAGCTCACAAACATTGTTAACCAAGTTTTACAATGGCTTCAATTATTCTTGGTTAGAATAACTCTGARTATCTTTTTCTTCTGATTCAAGTCATTACTGACCAAGCAGATACGAGATCACCTCATTATATCAGACAATTGTTCTTACATTTAGATTTTCCTTTATTAATTTTCAAGGTATKGTTGTGACACTTCACATACTCTCTTGAGCCTGTTCTGGTGGAACCTTCTGGAGGAGGAAGGGAATACTTTCTTTTCACACTGTTGGGACTGAAGTGGGAGTATTACAGGCTTGTCTAAAATAGTACATTMATTTTGAAAGCCAAGCTCTCCCAAGTCTGTCTTGTGTCTTGACTAATTAATTTTTTTGGAGATCACATGCTTCAGTCCTTMAGGTAGAATTTGTTCATCTATTTGCGAGGAGCAGGAGATAGGCACTAATTCTGCACTTATGCAAAAGAATCTGACCAGAGGGCATGAGTTTCATACATACTGAAATACATAAGAATGTGATATATTTACTTACAAACACAGTATTCAGATTTCAAAAATTGCACTTCCGTAGAAAAAGGAAATCTCRAGTAAAAGGGCTGTTCAGTTACAGATTTCAAAGATGAAATGCTAACCATCATGACTTTATGCATGCCTAAAGCTACACAGTGAAACTGTTAACATCAGATGTGGTTGATGTTATTTTTGTAAGTTGCCTGAGCTTAAAAATTTAATGAATGAGTCAGTGTGATAAATTCAGCTGCAGATATTCAAGCTCAGGAAATAATAAAAATCTGCAGTTCAAAATTAATATATATTCACTGGTTACTACTGGCAGATTTTTCCTTTTTCTTTGGCCAAGGAAAGTCCACAAATGAAACCCTGAAGACTTCAGAGTTTTCATCAGAAAATGTCTTTTTTTATTATTATTATTTTTCTTTCCCCTGCAGCCTACACCATTTCATACTAATAGTTAATAATATKCCCTTAACTTTCACAATCAGATATTCAGTGTTTCACAGTGCAGCCAGTCCTGGAGGAGCAGCCTAGATTCAAAAATAAGGCAGTGCCTGATCAAATCATAAAGTAAGTGAATTTCTGTAGTAGATAGTATAATAAAAATCAGCCCATATTCCTAAACTTTTATATATTTTTAACCATTATTTTGTGAACTCAGTCATTTGCCAATGAATCTTTTATTGTCTCAATTTACTGRCTTTCGTATTCATAGAATCATAGAACAGTTTGAGTGGGAAGGGACTTTCACAGGCTGCCCAGTTCAACCCCTCTGCAATGAGCATCTTCCTCTAGAGCAGGCTGCTCACAGCTCCAGCCAGTCTGTCCCAGGTATTCCTCAGGGATTTCATGGAGCCTCTCCCCWTCTACCACTGAAGAAATCTCTTGTGGTTTGCAGGGCAGGGAGGTGGAATCTGCCATTTGTGTCAAAGTTACAGAGTTCTCAACACAGAGAGAACCTCTTCTGCCACAAGTGGTGGAGAGAGGGCTCTTGGAGGTGACAGCCAGCAGGAGGGGTTTGAGCTGGAGGCTCTTAACAATAGAATCTTGTCTGGTCGAGTGCAGTGACAAAACAGTTTCTGCTGGTGCTACAGTCAAGATTTTGTAAAGGAATAAAGRGAACAAATTGTCCAAAGTATTTTGAGAACAGACTGACCAAGAGTTGCTTCCAAACCAGTCATGCCCTTGGCTTTCAGCCTTCTCTATGAAATCTTTACTGAAGTTGCAATTTACTTCCAGGAGAAAAATAAGAATCACCTCGTCACACACCCCAAAGTAAATAAGGCAGACTCAAGCAGAGGTTTTGTGTGACAGGATTTTGAAATAAAAAAACACACAGACACCAAAAAAAAAAAAAAAAAATTGAAATAAACAAACACACAGACATCAAAAAAAAAAACAAACCAAAAAACCAAAAAACACCAAAAACAAAAAGCCGCAAAAATTGTGGTCCTAATTTCAAGTTGATTAATTTTAAAATCAGTAACTGAAGGCAGATTACAAATGTGGTCCTGTTTGATTTGATTTCAGTGTAGTCCCAGACACACTTCGAACTGCTACAGTTTATGCAGCAAAGTAGTTGTTCCATGTAAAGTGCACTCTCTGCTCATGTGGGAGATTTTGGAATGATTTCTCTCTGCTGCAGAATTCAAACCAACTGCTGATTACATCTGGTCTTTAAGATTTACTTTTACGAGTGTACTTTATTAGACATTTAACTGTTCTTTACATTAGGTGATGACAATGCATTCATTGTGTCAAAGAGCTTTGAAATATCTGTCCTCTCAGGTGGAACTGTATAAAGTGGTCTGACTCAGTGTGGCAGTATTTTCCAGTTGYTTTTCTTTACTGAAGAAGGCAATCKTAGCAGTTTGGATCAGAAATCATAGTTTCCTATGAATTAACATACCGTGGTTTGCTAAACTTAAATGTCTGGGGCTTTTCTATTTGTTTTTCTGGGTTTTCAAAGCATGGTTCAGTTTTACTGGAAGAGATTTCAGAGGTTTTTTTTTTTTTTATGCAAAATTAGCTTTTACTTAACATGGGTTTAAATTTAATTCCTTTTAAAAACAAATATTAAAAACCCAGAGGAGAGATTTTTTTTTTCCTTGTGACAGCAAAATACTTGGCCAAAACTGCAAACCCAGTGCTAAAAGCCACATTTAGGTGCAAGTTTAGTGGAAAGATGTGCTCACAGTGAYGGAGAATGAATCATTAGTTGAATACAACAGACCACAACATGAATTTGAAAAGGGTTCCTTACATTGACATCCCCTTCTACAAGTACTTACATTCTATTATCTATCACAAGAAATTGTGGCTTCAGTTGTCTAATTTAYTGACTATTGTTCAACATTGTGAGCAGGATTGTTAGACAAGATTAAACTGCTTTGTCGTGTGCCGTGTTCTGCTCCAGGTGAAATATCTGCTCTGCTCAGTCAGTTGTTTAGTGAAAGATATTCCTTTCATGAACCAGGATAAAGCTGSCAAGCAGTGCACATGCCACAGCAAGTCTACAGAAGAGGAAAAAAATTTTCTAGTCCTTCTTCCATAGGTTTTGAGTGTTAATCTGGAAGTTCTGGAGATTTTATACCTGGGAAATATACCCAGTCAGAAGCTGGCACTTAATACTTGTAAAATACTGTGTGTTGACCCTGATTTATGGATAAAGTAGTTGCCTCCTGAGTTTCCAGTGAAGTCCTTTACTTCTGAGCAGTAAATTTGCTTTTAATTAAAAACTCAGCTACTCAAAATGAAATATTTCTCTGTGATAACAAATTCCATTAATTTCTGGGTTCTGTATTTCACAATAGTCCCTTTAAAATCTTTCAGCTTTTATAAGTCGAACAACGTGCAACGGTTCCACTATTCAAGACCAGTCAGAAAAGGATCTGTTGACCCTGAAAATGAATTTGCTGTAAGTAAATTAATGACAAGTTGATGGAWGTAGTTCTGGTAACTGACTGAATTTTGATCATAGCTCCTTTCCTAGGCACAGATTACTCATGGGCACCTTGGCTTTAAGATCTTGTTCAAAAAAACCAAATGYAAGATTTCTCTATTTCAGCACGATTCCTGTGTACTTAATTATGCATCACTGTTTCAGTTCCAGGTGAATATTATRTAGCTAAGCATGTTCAACATGTTTGGATTAAGCAGTGACATTTTCTGGTACAGATTTTCATGATGAAGCAAGGTGACATGTAAATAAATACCCAGTGTTTTGCTGCTTGTAGTTCGCAACATTTCTATCAGCTGCCAGCCTGGCAATGAGGTGACTTTTGTCTGCTTTCATCAGTCCTGTGAAACCTCGACTGATGAGAGAATTGCCTGTGTCATTTTTACTCCCATGCCTAATGCTGTAATGCTGAGGAATGGCCTTCACTCTTCAAATATTCTGAGAAAACWGCACCACCATAAATCACTTTGCAGTGTTCTGCATAAAAATGTGGTGTTTGTATTTTTATTTTACAGGTATTTTATGGTTTGTTTTGAAAAGCATTCCATCCAATCCTTATGGTTAAAGCTGTGCTCTTGGCATACTGGTGGGAAAAGTAATTTCTTTCCAAAATGTACAATTTCTGTTATGTGTGAGCTGATTAGCAGAGTCAACACTTTCATGTAAGGAGCTTCCTACCTGCTTCTAAATCAACACTTCAGACACAAACTCTACCCTGACATCCCAGAACTGCAGTTTTATCAAGACTCATGATGCACCATGGCTTCCTTTGCCTRAGCCCATTTATGAATATACCTGGAAATAGTTTTACAAAAGCTAAACTGTTGATGTTTTCATGCTGATGACAATAGATAAGATGCATGTGTTCTTCAAAGAGGTGGAAGCTGGGATAGATGGAGTATTTTCATTACATCTCTTATGGGATTTCTCAGTATAGGCAGTTTCAGTAAGCTGATATTGGTAAAATAAGGAGCAGCAGGGTAAAYRAAACAGTGGCTATTCCAAATTATTCTAAAATAGCAACAGCCAGTCTTGTTCAGAAAAGAAAAATCAAAGAACAAAGTCAGAAGGCTGGCAAGTTGTTACAGGGCTATTTACTGCTTTTAATTGCAGAAATATCTTTTSAATGTGGAGGGTGGAAATACAATCTGGGCAGAGATGAGAGCAGGTAATTTAATGACAGTCATTCCATCTGTAATGGCAAAAATGGGAATACAATCTAAAAAATTAAAGGCAATTTTCTTTTTTCTCTGCATTGTGCAGGCTTTGTGCCTGAAGATGACCTAATCTGAAATCAGGAAAGCTGTTTGTGCTAGATTGATTGTGCTAGATCAATTTTACAGTGGTTTTTTATGCAAAAATATGCATATGTTTTCCATCTGCATCCATTTTACTCTGACACCTCAGAAGGCAGAAAAGATTAAAGTTCAAATCCCAAAGTATCATTTTCTCCTGCTATGTTTTTTAATAGTCCATGTGGATTGAGAGGACGTCRTTTGTTACAGCCTACAAACTGCCGGGAATTCTGCGCTGGTTTGAGGTGGTCTCCATGTCTCAGGTGTGTATGAAGGTGCTCAGGGCCCAGAAAACCTGTAGCTGTTCAATCYTCCTGCACAAACCAGCTCACAAAATTATCAACAAGGCTACTGTTGCTTCTTTTCATACATATAAATCTGGTTTTATTTACATTTGATCTTTCTACTGCTCAATACAGGATCAATATATCTTACGTCTGATTTATAGTTTCAGGACCAAGTCGTGAGAGAATTGGACAAGTCTGTGTGTCTGAACTCCAAAATTATTGTTCATATATGTTGAGTTTTATAAAACTAAAAGGAGCTGTTTATCTCTTAATGAATCTTAGAAGTCCTTTGTTTCTTTACAGCACATAATTAGTCCTTTAGAGAATGCGATTGAGACCATGTCCAYGACAAATGAAAAAATTTTGATGATGATTAACCAATACCAGAGTGATGAGAACCTTCCAATTAATCCACTTTCCATGCTYCTGAATGGAATTGTTGATCCAGCTGTCATGGGTGGCTTTGCTAAATATGAGAAGGTAGGAGMTTTGGAGTCACTGCAAAGAACATTCTCAGTGCATCATTTCACAATCCTTTGTTAAAGTGGCAGTGCAGTGAATGGGAAATATGAAGTCATAACTCCATCAATTAAGGAACCCTCAATATCCTCATTTCCTGGTCACCTTTGTCTTTAAAAGCAAACCAGAGCGTCTGAAGCTATCAGTTGATGTAAATCATGATACTCTAGARCTGTGTCATTTTATTTTCACTGTGAACTTAATAAAAGAGGCAGTAATTGGGCTTTGTAATAAGGATGTAAAACTCAAAAGTATTGGATAAAGATCAAATACATTTTAACAAAAAAGAGCACCCCAACTGACAGTGCAAAATGATCACCAGCAGCATCTGGCTAAGGACCATGCACATGTCTCTCTTCTTTGATGACCAATATTATGATAATCTGCCAACTGGGCCCTGTGGGTTAATGATTGATTTCTTTACCTGTCAAAATGATAGACTGATTTTTTTTTTTTTTTTTTTTTTTTTTTTTTTTTTTTTTTTTTTTTTTTTTTTTTTTTTTTTTTTTTTTTTTTTTTTTTTTTTTTTGTCTAAGGCTTTCTTTACGGAAGAATATATCAGAGAGCATCCAGAGGATGAAGAAAAGCTGAACAAACTCAGAGATCTGATTGCTTGGCAGGTAATTTCTCACTGACAGCAACCACTGAGACTTCAGTGGAAGCTTCAGTGGACTGAGCAGCTCTTCCTTTATTCCTCTCTAACAGGAGAACATAGCATTGAGATGATTGTGTCATTTCCACTTTTTTTTAAGCCCCCAAAAGGTATTTTGTAGAACACATCATTTGCAATTATTTGTCCCTTCCAAACCAAAAGTCACATATAGCAGACTATACTTATGGTTAAAAGGGCCAGGATTTCTAACTTGGTTTGTATTCCTGGAAACAAAACTGAGAATGTGACAAAAGTCATAATGATTCCATGAATTTCTGGGGTTGGCAAATGTCAGAAACTCTCTTGTAAAACAACTCTTACCTAGAGATGGAGTATTTGTTTTTTGTGGAGGTTTGGGGTTTTTTTGTCATTAAAAACCCTAATGGAGTGTTTGCTGCTCTCAGGAATTATTTTCATGCTCAATGACCCTTCAATATTGCTATATGTCTTCCGTGTGGAAATAACATAGAAGACTATTAGTAAATATTTTTAAGCTATATCTCCAGAGGTGAGCTGAACATTCTCCATATTTTGGCAGCACTGTGAGGTTATTTGGGTTTACTATTCATCATTTTACATATTGTGTACATCTGCAGCCTGCAGAATCCTTTTGTCCTCAAGGAGGAAAATGTACCTAGATGGCATAAAAAAACCTCTATTTTTGCTGAGACTCAAGGGAAAATGGCTCTTTTCATTGACCTGATAATAATAATGGAGCAGAGAAAAACATGACCTCAGAAATTATCCATTCTATTTCCATTATCTAGTCCAAAGTAGAAGCTATTGCTATCAATAGATAGATAGAGGGATGCTAGGAAATAGTGAAAGTTCATCTGGGATTTTACYAGCAGAAATGAATGGCTCAAGGTTTTTCTCCTCATGTTCCATGTCTCATTCTTGGCACTTACCAAAAGTATCCCTGGAAACATCCAAGGWCAGGCTGGCTCTAAGCAACCTGATGGAATCAAAGATGTCCCTGCCCATGGCAGGGAGTTGGACCASATGCCCTTCCAAGATCCCTTCCAACCCAAACTATTCAATAATTCTATGACTCTGTCCTTCATAGATGAGAAACAGCAAAAATTTACCATTTATTCGTCTCTCAGCTTTGAAATTAATCTTCCAAATAGTCTTAATGGGATTATTTTGTACTCTTTTCTTAATGTTTTGAAGACTCTTCYTGTTTCATTTTGATTCATCTCAGTTTGGTCACTGGTTTGAGTCATATCTTTACAGWTTTTCCTGTGTTGTTGCCCACCACAACTCTGTGTATTTTTGTTTTCTGGCCATCAGAAGCACTCAGTGGATTAGTGGTATTGATTGACCATAATACCATCTGGCATTAGGAAATAAGAGGTAATTGCTACCTATCCCTGCAAATCCCTCTAAGGAGGACAAACRGATCTGCCAGTAACAGATGGGCTTTAATGCCATGTTTTTAGAAGTTATATTGAAATTGAACTTCCATAAAACACGATCAACCTGATGGGTGGACCAAGGTTCACAGTATTTACTAGGTCAGAATACAAAAAAGAAGTATGAAATCCAAGTGGATTTTAAAAAAAAAAAAAAAAAAAAAAAAAAAAAAGCCCAGATATTAATGCAAAAGAGCTGGATGAATTGAAGTGAAGCAGCTAGAAAAGGTGAGTGGCAAAAGGGGAGTTAAAAGTATTTTGCATAAATCTCATAACATTAAAATACATAGAAGCGAGCATTTTTCAGAAATTCACTGGGAAAACCCATTTTTCTTGAGCATATTCCATCTCGTAGCTGCTGCTCAAAGCTGAGATCAATGAGCACATCCACCTGCCAGCCACAGGAAGAGTTTTGCAGCTCATTTTTCAGATACTTTTAACAAAGCCAGAGACGTGGTCGGACCCACTTGAAAAGTTTTACCTTTTTCTTCTGTTGTCCCTCTTTAGATACCTTTCCTTGGGGCTGGAATTAGAATTCATGAAAGAAGAGTTTCTGAAAGTCTTCGTCCTTTCCATGACCGGATGGAGGAATGTTTCATGAACTTAAAAGTTAAAGTGGAAAAACAATATGGAGCCAGAGAATTGGTATTAYTCTGCTTTTATCTCTCTACCTCAATTTCTCTTTATTTAATACACATCTTGTTCTAAACAAAACTATGATTTTTGTTTGTTTGTTTGTTTGTGGCTTTTCTTGTGATCTGAAGGTAGTAGGATCTGAGTTTTAACATCCAAGAGCTGATTCAATTCTCTGACACATAAAATATTCTTCATTCTGGAAGATTTTGAGTATATTTTATTATGATTTAAAGTTGCAAGTCTTTTCAGCCATACTGAGGAAGTAAAAGCAAGTTCTTACATTTGTTCTATTTTGTAATTTTTCTTAGTAGTTTAAGGCTTTGATCTGCAATTGATGTCTCCCTCTGCCMGCCACTTCCAGCTGTGTTGTGAAGTAAAACCTGTCATGTGTATAATACTATAAATATTAGTTGAGAACAAACTGAAATATCTGGGAATAGAAGGATAACTTCTGAACAYAAACTCCCCAGACAATTCTTGAATAAAATATTCTATCTGGGTTGTGCAGGCTAGAAAGAATGATGTTGCCTGGTTTTTGTGATTAGACACCAGTTACTTTGGAAATTATTTTCTATTGCTGCTTTCAGCATTGGTGATTTTATAATGGGATTTATTTATTCTGTTAAAGRGAGAAAAGTAGCATGTTTCTAACCTAAATTTTGGGTATGTGCTGTGTTATACACCTGTATCAGGAAAATTCATATCTATCTCAATATTTTTTTTATTTTGCAATAATAGAGGCAGTAATTGCAATAATTTGCTTGAAATTATATAATTGCAATAATAATTGCAATAATAAAGGCTGTCATCCACACTCAACAATCTCGCCTCTTGCTGGAACCCTCCAGCACTCTTAGKGATCAGCACTTAAAAAACCCAACTAATTCAAAATTTTGCAGAGAGTGTAGTTTGTGAATTGAGTTTGTGAGGTCTTAAGAATTCATCAAAACACAAGATAAATCACAGTAATTAATGGGAGCAGACAACTTCTTTCATGCCAAGTGTTAAACATCTGTGCAGTYTTCCAGACCTGGTGTGAGAAGGATGAACTGAAGATCCCAGGGTTGTTTGATGGAATGTGTTTCTCTTTCCCATCCCATAGCCAGACTTTGATGAGAAGAGGGTCGGACAGCCAAGGTCGATGCTGAGATCCTACCGTCAGTTATCCATTATCTCCATGTCTTCCATGAATTCAGACTGCAGTACTCCCAAAAAAATCGCTTCAGAAAGGTTGGTGATGAATACAGTGCAAATTCTACTTCAGTCTTGTTTTATAATCAGTTTTATAAGGTAAAAAAAAATTATTTAAAAAAGTAATAAAGGTCACCAGAGGTCTTTTCAGACTATGCCAACATTATTTTTAACTGTAGCTATCACTCCCTCCAGGCTTAAAGCTACAGTGTTTCAATCTTGATAGACAAAATACATTCAACTCTCATTGGAAAAAAAGACTGACACTTCATTTTCAGAAATTGAGTATTTTAAAAATTAAATTCCTTTTCAAAAATTTACAGAGATCTGGGTTGTTTTTTTTACAAGTTTCTCTTGACAGCTTTTAACTTAATTAGCATCTTTTTGTTTGTAAAATGTGAAGAGGAAGAGAACAAGCTTTACAAACTTGAAAAGGAGSTGGAACATTTTAGTAAAGTCTGTAGTAATGCAAAATGCATTGCCTAATATGCTTTAACTGCAGCACTGGGAAACAAAAAGACTTTTGAGAGAACAATTCTAGGTATAGCTTTTTCATCCACAAATTGTTTTATTCACTKTATAAATTATGTTTCAGGCACATAGAACTTCTTCCCAAACAAGGTACATATAACACTGAAGTTGCTGAGAAGTGTTGGATTATCTTTTAAAATATTTGATCTCCCTTTCTGAGGAGTTAACTTTTTAAAAGTCCAGTGGTCTATAACCCTAATATGGCACTGTTGATGCTTAAGATGTTCTGCTCTGGGGTGTTTTATGCTCAGCCCAGCATTGAACACTCCTCACACTTTGAGTTTCCTGAGGCTGCTCCTCCTAACTTTCAGCTTCCCCATACATCATTTGTGTGCTGCAGTAAAACAGGGCACCTCTGGCAGCACCACACAAGTCCACTGAAGCACCATGCACCTGGTTTTATTTCATAGCGTGCTAATTTGTTTCTAGGAARCACAGGTCAACAAATTCACCACACTGCTTGATTTATCAATTTTTATGTCATAAAATAAGTTCAGTCCCATGTTCAAAAGGTTAATTACATCAGCAGAGAAGGGAGTAAAGCCAGCACTAATTTCATGGTCTTTTTTTTTTTTCTTTAAATGAAAAGTAGCCCAATTTTTAACTGTAAAAATTAGAAGGAGAGAGAAGGCAACAGAAGGGATAATCTCTGTGTGTGTGCATTTTTGTCCACGATGGTGAAATAAATAGGAGGATGCATTTACAACATGGCCATGAACAGCAATACTCTGTTCCACTTTGGTTCTTTTCAACAACCAGAATACCATGTCTTGCTTTCAGCACCAAAACCACCACACATCAACTTGCCATGTGAGCTCTACTCTGTTTTGTTTAGGAGTCCTTAAGCTACTGCACAAATCTTTAAAAGGGGATTTGAGCTCGTTTTAATATTTTACGTTCTTTGCTACATTTTAAGATTATGTCATACTGCCTGAAGGCATCTTATTTGTATCTCCAGTTGCCAGCTGCTGAAGCACATCATGTACTTTTTGCCAGCAGTTTGCAAGGCTRCCTAGAAAGAAGGAAAGAATGACCTGCATTTATATTTCATGGGGAAATGACATCAGAATACCAGCAGATTTTAAAATATCACTCAGCAACTTGTACTTCTTTTCTTTTTCTCCTGCAGCTTTGATCTGGAAGCAGTGCTACCAAAGCAAGGAAAAGCAGAATCAGAGGAGACTGCTCTGCAAAATAATCCTTATCCTGAAGTCAAGATGAGAAAGTCCAAAAAAAGAACAAAAAGAAGCAGTGTGGTATTTGCTGATGAGAAGACAGCGGCTGATATTTCTATCTCTGACATGAAATGTGTACGTTACTGATTTAGAGTAGTATTTTATAATCCATGGAAAAGAGGACATTACTCCTTTCCTTAGGAAAAGAAAAAATATATTCCAGAGAACTCTAGCTGTCATAAAGGGAAATATGCAGGATACAGAGATGATCTGCCCTGCCATGAATGAAACACACAAGATGCTGTGGAGCAAAAAAATCAGTGAGAAAATCAGCACATCTCTCCTGGCTTATGGTGACAGATAAGGAGCTCCGATGCTGCAGATTCTGAAGCTTGGTTAGCTCAAAAGGAGCGCTGTGTTGGGAGGGTTAAGCTGCTTTCCTGTGGAGAGCCAATTGACTGTGCTGACATTTCATGGCAGCTCCTCGCAGTCAGGGCTATTTCAAAAGTGATGAGCCCTGTACGTTTTGTACCTTGTTATGGAACATGCAGCTGTTAGGAAATTGCAAGATTGCAAACAGTGCTYCTTAAATGGTGCCAGACTGAAGTTTGGAAGCACTGGCATCTCTCGCTCCATAGATCATCCGAGTGCCTTTATTGCACTGCTGGATCATTAGAATGACTTATGTAACTTACACTGAATCTTTTTTTATATAGATAGTTTAATCCTCAGGAGAATTTTCTTCTTGTATATGTCTTCTTGATACACAAGCCCCATCTAAATTAAAAAGTCAGGCAGTAACAGATTGTTGAATTACATGGAGGGAGCATAAATAATTTGATCAAAAATGTTTGAAGGAATCATCAAARGTAAAATGAATTGAGTAGAAAGCCAAGATTCTTTGGGGAAGCACAGAGAAACTCATGGATGATTATGACAGTCTTACACTGCATGTCTTTATGCAAAAGAGAGATAAAGCACAGTCATGCTCTGAGAAGCATTGATATACAAAACCAAGTAACACCTTTTGATTAAATTGATAACACATACACCAAACTGTGGGGATCCCACTTCATATTGAGTTAAAGGATTTTCTTCTTCAAAAGAGCAGCGGCAAGGCTTTGCAGCAGCCAAACTGGGTATGTTAATGCAATAGGGAAAAATGTTTTCAAAATTTCATTTCACTTTGCAGATAACACTCAGAGCTGTCTGATGGTATTATGCCAAACATAGGGTGGGAATTCGGATTTCTGATTACTTCTGTAACTATTTTTGAAWTTTTTTTCTATGTAGAATGAGMAGTATTTAACWATAAATTATCTGCAAAATGGTTGCATGTTTTTAGATTGTATGTAATATGATACATGGACTGAATTCTTAGTTCATCATTAACATTGGGGTATTTTTATTTAACAGCTATCAAGGAAGTATGAGTTCATGAGTGACACCAATCTCTCAGAGCAYGTGGTGGCACCTCAGAAAACTTCTGTCCTCAAGCAGATGAGCACTGTCAGCCGCTCTATGCCAACTATCCCAGGTAAAGTGAGAGTTCTGAACTTTATGGGGATGATAAGAAAACAGCAATGAAGGGTTTGCTTCAAGCAGGCCTGGCAGCTCTCTCCATCCCTTTGAGATTCTCTGGGACAAGAATTCCAGCTGAAGTACCTAGTGACTGCTACAAATGCTTTGKAACACTGTGGTGCCTATTTCAGTATCTTTTACCCCCTTGTTCCATTGCACATCCCATTTCTTAGCCTGCATTTCATCTCTCCCTCTCATTGCCCCTCTCTTTCCAGATGCCTGTAACAGATGTTTAGCACAGCACAACAGACTGCCACGGCCCACTTCTTTGTCATGTGTTTATCTATTTTTAATTCTTTGGCCAGATTGTTGTTGTTTTTTCACTCTTTAGTTTCAATGTAATGAAATTTAGTTTTTCCCATAATTTAATTTTTTTATTCTAAGGCTATAGGTAGATTTAAAATGTCAATTTTTTCTAGTCATTGCAGTAGTTCATTATTTTGAGTTCTGCTTTGTCTTAYACTCTGACTCTCCTTTTTCGGTTTTATTTTGTGTAACCAATGTTGTTTCCATTGTAAGGATTAACTCTGTCTGTCAGCACTGTGGCACCTGATGAAACAATTGCCTCACGTAGGCTGAGCCAGCCAGTGTTTCCTACCACCTCAGACAGTGACAAGAAAACCTCCAAAAAAAAGAAAATGAACCTACTTAAAACAATGGTAGGTTCTGTATGTTTGTGGGGAGTTAAAGGAAGTGCTATGTGTTCAAAAATTCTATACTACAAAAATTAAGTCTTTTTAAGATAAATAGGTTTGTAAGTCAAACTCTTCTATTTTTTCTTGATGCTTTTGTCAGACAGAGTGGGGTGGAAGCAAAGCTGGCAGAGGCAGCGCTTCTGGTGGGAGGGATGGAGGATGCAGGGGTGCAGGGATGGAGGGATGGAGAGATGAAGAGGTGGAGGGATATCACAATGAAGGGATGGAGGGATACTACAATGCAGGGATAGAGAGATGAAGGGATGCAGGGGTGGAGGGATGAAGGGATAGAGGGATACCACAATGGAGGGATGAAGAGATGGAGGGATGGAGGGATGAATGGATGGAGGGATACCACAATGGAGGGATGGAGACATGAAGGGATGCAGGGGTGGAGGGATGGACTGATGTAGGGATACCATAATGAAGGGATGGAGACATGAAGGGATGCAGGGGTGGAGGGATGCAGCGATGGAGGGATGGAGAGATGCAGGGATGGAGGGATGAAGGGATGGAGGGATACCACAATGGAGGGATGGAGAGATGGAAGGATGCAGGGATGGAGAGATGAACGGATGGAGGGATCCCACAATGGAGGGATGGAGGATGGAGGTTGGAGGTACCTGCGTGTGCAGCTCCGCTCCCGCTCCGCGAGAGGGCGCGGATGTCCCGCCGAGTGGCGGTGCCGCAGGGAGGGAAGGAGCAGAGCGGCGATTCCCGCGGGATGTGGCGGGGCCGGGACCGGAGCGCCGGGATGGGAGCGGGCTGAGCACGGCACTGGGAGAAGATGCTGTGGGACGCTTAGTGAAAAGTAGAAATTGGCTCCCGCTGGGGTCGTCACTGTTTCTTAAAGCCGGCTGCCTTCCTTTAGAGTGAGGAATGTTTCATTGATGCCTGTGAAATTTTCACAGAATTAAAACGATTTCATTTAACGTAGTATTTGACAGGAGTGGGGGTAGGAAGTGTTTCCAGAGCAGCTATTCGGATGGACAATGTGAAAGTTTTCCTATTTTTCTTTTGGGTAGTGGGAGGGTGGCATTTAATGCAGAGCAGGGTAGCTACCCTGCTACCCAGCTACCCAGAAGGCTTACTGCAGAGGCATCCTGAATCACTTGCAATATTTTACCCGTCAACTTCTCTGATCKTTCAATGCACAGGATTTGTTTGTTTGGTTTCTTTTTTCCTAGGTAATAGGTTTTGTTAGTATTCATTACKTTCTGCAGTGTTGTTTTTGTTGGGKTTTTGGTTTGTTTTTTKTWAAGGATAATGCCTTCAGGGACTATAGAGCATCATATAGGAAAATCTACATTTAAATGAGTTCATAATCATATTTTTCTGGTAGGAACAAGAATAACCTATTAATTTCAAGTCTRTAGTATTTCACTTACATTCAATTTATCACATACTTGCTCTTTTCTGATCCAGGAGTTGCAGTTTTTCAGCACTATCTCATCCATTCATATTTAAACTTTAATAGTGTATAAAATACAGAGGATCRAACGCATGAAGAAGGACTAACTAAAGCTAAAAGTCCATTTGTGGAGGGCTTCATGGCATGTTTGGAATCATGAGGAYAGGTTTAAATACAGGTTTAAGGTTTGCAGAATAGAGAACTGAATTTTAAACATGAAGGATTCGGTCAATGTCTTTTTTTTTCCCTAGCTATTGCTTAAAGCCATGAGTAATTAATATACATATTATTGAATCCAGCACAGAATCACTTTTAATGTATGCAAATCTGGTTTGGTGTTTTTTTCAGCGCATGTCCAAAGTTCTGGAAGATGGAAAAYTGTCTGTGGAGCACTATTTCCAACCCTCATCGACAGATCTGTGATTAATTTTTACAAGACCACATCCCAAATGAAAACAATTATATCTACATACGAATATTCTATTTTAGAGCACCATCTACTCTACAGAAAGGCACTGATGGAGAATATGAACAACAGCACTCATGAGCTCTGATAAGTTACTTGTGATACAGATACAGGAATAATATTTGAAGAAAATACTGCAGGATATGTCCACTGGGATCTGAAACAGAAGTCTCTGGTTATAAGGTCAAAGGGAGCTGTGTGTTCCCTGGGGATAAAGCTTGCTCCTGGGAAGTGAGATGTATGGAAAGGCCAACTGCAATGCTCTCTATGTAGTGCCAGTCAGGGTCTGTTCTTTCCAAAGAGCAGAGAGTTTGGGTTTTCTGGAGCTTGTACGGACACACTTCAGCTATCCTTAAACCCTCGCTGGCAGTGTAGCCAAGGCAACAGATGGCTCAGCACAAAATAGCCACCGACGATTTACTGTGTGGCTGTAGCTGGATTTACAGCCCTCAGAGCCCTCTGCTGCTCCCAGCACACTGCTCTGTATCTCAGCCTTTCCCGGGTGATGTCCGTGACTCTGACACCGTATGCCTGAGTTATTTTCAGAACAGCAGATATTATGTGGAAAACATGCAAAAGTGTATTTACACATGTACAAATTGACCTTACATCCAGCAGCATGATGAACAAAAGCTGTGTTTTCTGCTGTTCAATAAAATGTTACGAATCTGTTTTATTTGCCCTGACCCTTTCTCCCTGACATCTCCAGGTGTTATTGTATAAAAAGTAATACTTTTTTACTGACAGCAAATGGAACTCWATGAGCCCAAGTTTTCTGGGTTTAGATTGATTTTCTGTGTCTTCTCAGCTCATGAGGTAGAGYTGAGAGGTGATGTCTCGCTGGTGTGAAGCTCCACAGCATTGCAGGTCAGCACCTCAGGGGTTTTGTAACCTGTCAGCTCTTTCTACAGGCAGGTCTGTTATGCAGACAGAGGGGTCTAAAAGGTGAAAGATTTCCTTCACTCATCCCTTTATGTTTCAACTGTTACACAGGTTTATACGAGGGAAATAAAATATAACCATGTACAGTGTTGTGGATGGGAGACTGACCTTGTTGCCATTTTTATGGATTTGGGAAAGGCAAAGAGGTTGAAGTTATTCCTTGCTGTGGAGKTGAACCTATGGAAAGATATCTGCAGTTTCTTTAAGCCTAATTTTTCCTATTAACACTTTAACATACAGTGTGAATAATGAGTTTTATGAATTTAGACTCTCTTTTCAAATTGTCAGAGTGAAGCTGTTTTCTACAGGAATAGCTAATGATTGATTTCTGTGAGAGATTTGGAATATTTGCCACTGTAACTAATGCTGCACCAAGAAATACTTTTCACCAGAATAGCCACAAACAGCAAAACAAAATGGGCCCAGTTTTAGCACTAGCTACAGTGTTTGGCATGAATTCTTACAGACTTYTTGTGTGATTTTGTTTCATTTGCTTTCCACAGCAGCTTGATACTGCTTCTGAAGTGGCACAGAGGAGGAACAAGGCTTTCCTAGGAAAAGGTCTTCTGTTTCATAGAGAAGGCTATCTGTGAGTGAGAGAAAGTAAAAGGTTGAARGGTGCATGTTTAACATCTTGCAAACCTGGTAGAAGAGGAGGGAGCTTCCTTYAATATGATTTGCAGCTACCTTGAATATATCACAAAATAAACATGTATTTTAAAAGAAAAGGTTTGGTTCTACTGGAAACGAGTGAGAAAAGGATGATTTAGGAACTGTACATTCTTTGTAAAAAAATCTGTTAAAGGTTGTTTATTATATCTTGCAGATATCAGGTGAGTGGAATAATAGTTTTACCTCTTGCTGCTATTATAAATCGTTTTTTTAAATACTGTGACTCAAAATAAAGAAATAGAAAGAATGGAAGAGAAGGAAGAGCCCAGAAACAAATACCAGAAAAGCAATATACCAGGAAGTAGCACAATATCCAAAGAAAGTTTGGTTAAGCCACTCGTTCAAGATTTATGTGTTTTGCTCAGGTTTTAGTTCAGTTTTTGGTGAAGGGGTTGGATTCATATTTAGTTCACTAAATATCAGCCATAATTTTAATCCTTGTCCCACACCACAGATTGTCCTCCTCTTGCCAGCTCAAGTTTCAAGCCTGAAGTCATGAAAGTCAACTGTGAGCAGAAGAGCAAAATTAACTAAGAAAAAAAGCTGCCAAGAGCAGGGCATTCATACAACTGGAATCTTAAGGATGTGTGGACAACAAACCCCAGCCACTCACAAGCTTCCAGAAACTGTGGATGCCAGCATTTTGTCCAGATAAAGAATATAGCATGAAAGACAATTGATGCCCTGGGATAATAAAGTGCCAGCACGGCAACATCTGTTTAAAAATGTAAATCAGCAGTGATTGCTGTCATTTCTGTCACGAGCTCAACAGGCCTTCAGYTCATTCTGCAGAGGGGAGGGACAGAACCTGTAGTTGATATTTTTTGAGGTGAAGCATAGAGGGCAGAAATTTTCTCCAAGCCAGGGTGAGGCTTTGGCTGCTATTGAGGGAATTAGTGCAGGTTCAGTTCCAAGCCCTCTACCTCTCATTGTGCAGGTCAGGAACACAGCCCTGTTCTCAGGTGTTTTTCTGTACCACTTATTTCTCTCTGACTTTTCCAATAGTCTGGGTGGTGACAGTTTGGTTTGCTGTCACATGGCACTGAATAATGATAGAGTTGTGTGAGTSTGTAATTAATGACCTGTTTGCAGGGGCAGGAAAGCTGCACGTGCTGCTGAGRTTTGATGAGCTGACCTGCACTGAGCTGTTACACTGCAATGACCTCTGATGCATTTAAGCTGCACATTTCATGTTCAGCTGAGGCAGAAATCTCAGTTTTAGACAGACACAGGCACCTGGCTGACTCTGTAGAGTGYAACAACACTTTAGTGGTGCAGGTGCAGCTCCAGGAGCTGCTGCAGTGCAGCACAAGGTCTGGTCACACAGAGCAAATGTTGGCATTAACCCACATCAGGGTCCTCAGGAGTGTCCTCATCTGACTTGGGCCTCCAGCCTGCCCTTGTGTATTGATACAAGTCCTTATTATGGAAATATTAGTTAAACATTCGTTCTGGGTAGAATTTAATGCTCTGAAAATTTCAATTAAAATTAGCTGGTGTGAGCTATAGGAAGATGGTCAGAGTCTAAGTCAATAAGGATCAAGTTTCTGAGGAGGAAGGAGAGTTTTATTAAAGATTTTACAGACCTTAGGAACACATTGTTCTGGAACTTGAAGGTGTGATAGACCTGTGTACCTGCTCGACATTGACCTTTTATCTCAGTCACACACTGTAATCTTCTTTATTAGACAGTAGAAACTGTGGGTGAGCAGAATCATAGGATAGTTTGTGTTGGAAAAAACTTTAAAGAYGGACTATTGCCAGTCCCCAGTGGGGTACTGGTGCCACACTGGTTATTCTGTAAGGAGTTCATTGACACATTAGGCATCAYTGGATCTCTGTTTTCATTTGTTCCACACTGATCATGGGATGAGGGCACTTTCAGAAAGAAGAGATGCTAAATACATTTTTWAAATAGCATGGTAGGATAGAGAAAGTGGGTTTGTTTTTTATTAMATCTGGTTTCTGTTTAAGTCAGCTGAGGTCCAGGAGTTCTCTTTAAAGCCACCCAACCATATTATTCTCTATGCTCACTTCCTCTGCTGTTTTCAAGGATTGTAGCTAAAGTATCGTAAGAATACAAGAAGATCCTTTTTTTTTCTAGCTTTAGTACAAACCTATTAAAAATATGGAACATTTATCCCAAAGACTGGTTCCATACATGCCAACCTCAGTGGAAATCATCCAGAATTAGGGCATTTGGTTTAAAACAAAAAGTGCAGGTCAATTCTCCAGAGCGGGGGAAGATAAAAGGAATTACTTAACCAAACACGACATCTTTCTCATTTAAAAAYCAAGAGAAATTAGAGAATTTAAAGCAAACTTTTTTTGCAGTATCCATTTTTTTTAAAACCATTTCTGAGGAGAGGGCAAAAATAAATCGTTCAAGGATTCTTTCCCTCATAACTTTTTGGATGAGGATGTGTCCATCTTTTTAGATACATGTCTTTATTTTTTTAGGAATATGGAAGCCTCCATGAAAAAAAAGCTTGCAGCCAGCTCCTATCCTGGGTGCCTTGGAGTAGTCACTACATAGAACTTTTATTTCCARAACTCAGTTCCAACTTGCTCTTAGGCATTCAAGGTCCTTTTTGGGGGAAACATTGAGCAACACTGCCGGGGCTGCCCTCAGTTGTAAGAACTCCAGCATTGGCWGCGTTTCCTGCTCGGGGTGAGGAGAGGACTTGTTCTTTATTGACTCGGTGTGCAATTTTCTGTTCTGATTTGCTCTCATGATGCAGCGTGCGCTAAAGATTAACACTGTAAACCAAGAATTGCTCTGCAAACAAATCTCACATAGGCCATGGATTTCATAAACTTTTAAATGTTAGATAAATTTAATCATGGCTTTAAAGTGAGGACAGTTTGATCTGATTGGGTTTTGCATAGAATTATCCTTTTTCACTGTAGTTTTTTGCCTTCCAGGATAGCTGACAGCTTCTCTGTGCCATGAGGGATCTTTCCTATGGCTGACCCTAGGATGAGACAGCCACTGTGGTGTCTGTGCTGGGACAAACACAGTGTCTGTGTTTATGATTTTTTCATGTATATTAATGCATCCTGCAGCTCCAGATGCCCCATTATGTGTGTGGGTATTCAACCTGCATTTAGCACCAGGTTCATGGGGCAGGCACGGCTCATCTCTCAGTCACAGTTAACCCTTCACAGGCYTTGCCATTGCTTGGATTAGTTCAGCCCAGGCAGGGGCTGCTGATGGTGTCACCATGGGTTTAAATGGTGACTGATTCAAAAGGTACTGGAAAGGTGAAGGGGATCAGAAAGCAGTCATTTAGGTATCTATGCCCCAGCAGCCAAAAAAGACATGTCCAGGTGAGGTAATAGGAACCTTGTACTATCGTAAGTAGAAAAAGTCTAAACAAGTCTCCCGGTCTGACAATTACTTTGAGGGAAGACTTTCTGCAGAATGTTTGCTTGCTTATATGTTTTTAAATGTCAGAAGACAGCCCTGGATAGAGTAGCTTTAGATTCAGAGCTTGTATTTTGTATGGTGTTTTATTGTACACTAATGTATGTTATTATTGGATACGTGGATTCTGCAAATTCTGAGGAATGTGAAGTTCTGAAGGAATGTCAAAGTTGCTTTGACACATTCAGTAGCACTAGTGTACAGTCCCTAAATTTGTAGAATCTTTCTTCATAACTGCATTTGGACCTTTTTTTTGTAAGACAGGAAAATATGAATATTTGAGATCAGGATGGAAAGTAAAGGGAAAAGAAAATTTAAAAAAAAAAAATAAAAATAAGGAAACTAATGTAAAAGAGACATGCCTCTAACTCTACCAGAATTTCCATACAAAATTCTGAAAATTTCAATTAAAATTAGSTGGTGTGAGCTATAGGAAGATGGTCAGAGTCTAAGTCAATTAGGATCAAGTTTCTGAGGAGGAAGGAGAGTTTTAATAAAGATTTTACAGAYCTTAGGAACACATTGTATGCAAATGAGGGATTCTGATATGAAAGCGTTCCAAATGTTCCTATACAGGATGAGCTCTTTTCCCAGATGCAGGGCATTCTGCGCAGGGAACACCGGGATCAGACCGGCCCGCACTCGCGGCTGTTCCCAGGGCAGGTGGCACAAAGCTGTGCATTCCCAGCGCRCACCGCCAGGGGGCGATAGGATGTCGCGATAGCTCGCCCATATCGCAGCCCGGATACCGGGAATCCCGGCCCAGCTCCTGGAAGYGCCAGCGTTAACAGCGCCGTAAATCATCCTGCTCGCAGGGCAGGTTATCTTAGTTTACTGCGGTCAAACCCTGGCTACAATAAAACAGMCTTAAGTTTATCTGTGGCTGGGTGTGCCCACAGAGAAGTTCCCTGCACTTGYACCAACTCACTTTCCAGCTTTAGTTTCTAATTAGTGTTCCACAAGTATTTGAGTTGTGCGAGTAGTGGAGGGCATAGAACACTGAAAAAAAACCTTGGTTTTCCTTGACAAAAATGAAGTTACGCTTTATGAAAAAAATCTGTGTTTCTACAATGTCTTTTCAATGAGATCTCTATTTGAATTGTGGAGTGGGAGGAGCTGGTTTATTCATAACACCAAGTACTAGATGCTAGAATGTGACTGAAACAGAAGCATTAGCATGTTACTGCTTTTTCTTTCTACAAATCATTGAAATGCATTGAAAATGCACAAGAATTTAAGCTTTGCAGGGTTTTAGAAGGGTGTACAGATTAATTTCTTTGGTACCCATGTTGATGTTCATAGAAGACCTCATTTTAGCATCATTGATTTCTGGTACAAACACACCTTTAGTGGTGACAGCAGAAGAACGAGCAGATAATCTGAAAGAGGGAACCGTGCTGGCTTTTGGAAGCTTCAGCAGCAGTGAGGCTGTCCAAGYRTGATTGATTGAAGTATCTATATTTRTATTACTCTCCTGTAACTGAGAGGGACATCTCAGCTTCTACCATGGGAAAGACTGGCCACTGATTCTGCTCGAGGTACCCTTTGCTGCAGATGTGCCCGTGTCTGTGTCCCTCAGGGCAGCAGATCCCATGGGAGCCATAGACAGCCAAAGGGAACCTATGGATTCCCTGCCTGTCACAACTAATACCCAATTGGGTGTCAGGGGACACTTAATCCCYTCTACCATATTTATTGTATGTTAGSAGATGGTGGAAGGCTTTTGYGGAAGT